GTGGCTCTCGTATTCGATGATCGCGAGGATTTTAAAAAAATAACTCCAAAACCATTTGCCCGCTTTGCCTCTGGCTTTTTGAAACATCAAGATCATAAGACTTGCTTCTTGTTTCAATACTTTTAGTTCCTTAATGAACTGTGCATTTTGTGTAGACTTTCCGCGTCGTAACGATTCCAGAAAGTCCGCCAAACACACCAGTTTCCTCTTCACGATTAAAGAGCAAGTACATTTGATGTCTTCGATGTTCGTGTTGAACTTGTCCAACGCCTCGTCGCGGCCTTTGATGTCTTTGTAAGTCTTGACAGGAGTCCTCAGAATTGAACGTTCCTTGTCACTAATTTCAATTTTCGCTCGTTGTAGGTTCCGAGATCGTTCACCACGTTAATGTATCTTTTAGAGAACGTATGATCGACGTAATATGATTGGTCAATCTATAAAAAATAATTATAATAATCATTATTTGTGTCTCATATAAAACCGACCACTCCGTATACAGATTTCTTTTAGGTAACTAAAGATTTTTTAAATCAGGAGTGTCTGTGCACAACAACCATCGCCTAAACGTTTGAAAGCCTCTGTCTCTTTCAGATAGTTGTTTAAATGTAAAAGTACAATATCATTATGAAACGTCACAATAGCGTAAACACAGTTTTAAGCAAACACAGACGAATGGTTGAATTATGGCGATGGTAAATCAGACCTACGTTAGGTATAGTTTTTCAGCTCTTGGATTTTAAAAACAAAAAACTCTGCCTTTTTGCAGAACAGGGGAGTAGGTACGCAAGATTATGGGTCTGGTAACGATTAACGGTAAATAAAATGGTTAGCTAATGTTTTTTTAGAAACAACAAATTGAACTAAACCTTTTTATTATAGCAGCTGAAATTTAAAATTGAAGAATTAGCGAATTTTGGGCTTTTCCAAATTGTATGGGTGTAAAAAGTTTTATGCTGCTTACTTTTTTCGATATTTTATTCGTCACGAAGTTGACTGATAGTATGAAATAAAACGAACAAATAAGAATCCAATTGTGCGCTAACATTTTTCGAAAAAGTCTTAGTACATCGATGCAATAAGTCACAGTGCGCTTGGTTTGATTGACTTGGTTCTACGTATTTAGCGTTTTCACAACGAATCCGAAAATGCAGCACTTGTCGAAAACTTTACACACACAAATAATGGCGAAATTCATACGGCATTGAAAACAGTTTAGCTTACTTTTATTTGAACAACTTGTCATCCTGCCATTGGACGTATGTGTGTGGTGTGTGTTATATTCGTTCGTGCGATTCCCCTTGACTTTCGACGGCGACTATGCAGATTCGAATATTTCCCCATAAGTTTATCAGAATGTTTTTGCGGTTGTCTAGATAAAGCGTTTAATATTTGGCGGTGGATTTAACGTAGACATCTGAAATGCATGCACACAGTTTATTTATGTTGTTGAGTCAAGTCGACAAATGTCGAAATCTCCATCTCAATAATATTGTAAAAGTTAGGACTATTTTCTTCTGTTATCAAGTCAAACTTACCTCAAAAGCTTTAAACCTCGGTAAAATATTTTTTTTTTTTGGTTATGTTACCCTGACAACTTGTTTTCTTTTGGTTTTATCGTCATTTTATTTCTAGCAAAATAATGGCACTATTGTGAGTTTTAAAAAATGACATGCATGATTTTACGGTTCATTGCCATCTCTGTGTGCCATATTTTTAATGTTTTTGGTAGGTATTGAAATTTAAATAAATTAACAATCACGAGGGCAATGCCCCTTCGGCTTGGCATTGTAGAACTCTCCATAGAAATAAATATTTTACACTTAATACAGAGGACTTAACTTGGTTTTAGTTTTAGTTGCTTAGTGGGTGGGCCCAAGAAATGTCCATGCACTCAGACCTGTAGGTCCATTGTACACACCCTCTCACCGAAGTCCTATTTCACCTAGCCATTTTGTGCCTACGTTCTTCTCAGTTTAATAGCTTTGTGCGTTGAGTAGTCAAGAGTCCTTTGCAAATGAATACTTAACTTACAGAATAATCGAATACCAAACAATAATACATTTTAATAAAAACGATAAAATCATAAACTATTCAGAAATTTCGGTTGACACTTTTAACAACAATTAAACTTCCAGTTTAATCTCAATTAATCTATTAAATACTATGAGTTTAAATTATTGATATTACGGTTTGTATTTTATAATATATATATATATTTGTTTAAATTAGTTATAACTTTTAAATTTGTTAATTGCTAATATTTATTCATTTAAATTCGCTATCACTTTTAAGTCTATTAATTGCTATTTATTATAAGGTTTTATGAGCGTGCACCTTCCTCGAAGAAACGTGTACTATAATTGTTAATTTTTTGAATTTGTTGAATTTAAAATTTATGTATTTTAAGTCGATGCGCTTGACTGCATATTATGTGCTGATGAAATGTCTCTTGAGACCCAATTGCCTTATTCACTTCCTAAAGATGAAATTATAGGGTTTCATCAGATAACTCGCACTAAAACTTATGTTGCCGCCAAGTATGCATTAGTTTTACATCCTGGGCCATTGGAAAAAATACGAGTCTATTAATTAGCCGTCCAGGTGTTAAGTGAACACCTGTTTAGCCTACTCAGCTGACCTACTTAGCATTAATTGTATAAATAATATGGATAGAGTTTTCGGTATTTGCGATTCGTCCTAATTTAAATGAATATTTATGTAATGCACCTTATTAGCGTTTATGTCCAAATTTTTGTATTGTTTAATACAATTATTTATTAGATTTAGATTATTTTCATAGGCAATTTCCAAAGACAATTGCAACAAAGTACCGACAAATTATACATATAAAAAAAATCATTATTTTATTGTCTCAAGACGATGGCCGCGGCGTTTTTGGCCGATAAGTATCTCGCCCGTGTTAATGTTTTTTTCATTTACGAATATATATTAATATAGGGGGCGGTAAAAATTCAATTATACTCAACAATGATAACCCTCTGTTTTCCTCTGTTTTTATTATTATTATTATTATTATACAAAGCCATTAGCCATTCTTTTTGGGGAAAATAATAAGCCCGGGTTTAGGTATAATAATAATAATAATATTATTATCGTCTCATGCTCTTTCTAAACGGGGCACCTTGTGTTTTTGACGTCTCCGTTATTTTATTTTACTTTTTTTTTTTTTATTATTATTTATTACAACCCCCTACCCCTTGTTCCTCTTGTTCCTCTTTCTGGCCGGCATTTCCGCTCGGTTTTATTATTATTATACCGACGACGTGATTCGTATTTTTTTTTTCCACCGTCATATTCGCCTCCGCTATTATATATATATATATTACATTATAGTCGCCCCCGTATTATATTATATTACACGCAGAGCCGCTTTTTTTTTTTTTTCCACGCCGATTATCATCACTCTCCGCCGTCCGCCCTTCTTCTGCTGCACCCTCCTCCACCACTCGTCGCGCCACACATCCATTACATTACATTCGCCTTTTTCCCCCCAGGACCTTTATACACAGCACTGTGTACCGCCCCGCCCATTGACCAATCGTGATAGGGCGTATCGCCAAATGGGGGTGTTGTGCGGCCATTGTCGTATCGTCTTTTCTTTCTTTCTTCTGGCCTTTTCACCGGTTTTTCACGTCCAAAAGATTACCTACCACCGCCACCACCACTACTACAACAATAATCGTTAATAAAATAAAATTTTATATATATATGTAGGTAGGTACACCACCATAATACACCCCATTTATATGATACGGCTGCGCGTGCGGGCGGTATATTATACAAGTTCCATTATATTAAATAATAAATATATAAAACCCCCTGCACCCCCTCCTCACGTCCACCAACCGTCAGGCTTATTATGAATAAAATCATCGTTTTTTTTGTATTTTTTTTGTATTTTTCATCCCCCGAACAATTGAAAAAATAATTAATACAGACCTACATATTATTATTATTTTTGTCGCGTGTGTGTGTGTGTGTGTGTGTCATTCGCAGAGAAAACGCCGTTGTCTTCGTTGTATTATTATGCTAAATAATGTATTTTATATATATATAAAAAAAAATATGTACAACAAAAAAAAAAAATCCCAAAGGACGATTGTATTAAAAAATCATGACGCTTGATACGGTATAATTATTATTTTTTTTTTTTATACCATACCACAACACACGTCGCTATAATAATATATTATTGTACATGGAAACCGATATAATAATAATAATCGCTATGTTAAAGGCCGTTTTGCGCAGCACACGCCACTACGGTTTTTCTTGTGCAATTTATTTTGTTCGTCCATGGGTAAAGTATCTCTAAGTAAACATTAAAATTCGTAAACACCAGTTATGTCTGGTAAATAAGCCAGAAATTTAATAAAAAAATATAATATAATGATTGATATATGAAATTGTACTCCTATCCTGTTATTATTCTGTTATTTTCTATGAATGATTGTTGGTAATTTATCTTTTCTTATTATCAGTAGCGATTTTTCAGGTCTGCCGAGTTTAGGGTTAAACCAATCAATGATCAATGAAAAAAAACAATAGTAGGGAAAAAATTCAGTTTTGATACTCTTGCCCGATTGACCATAAATTCGGAATTAATCCACAGATTTTCTCTAATAGCGGCTCGTTTTCTCCAACCCCTTGTCAAAAATTAGTAACTAGCCACATGTGTGTGATTTAAATTTTTTCCGCGTTCATATTCTCCGAGCTCGCGGCTTTTAATTCAGTAAGAAAAATTAGACAAACGAAAAAATTGTTCACAAGAAAAAGATAGTGGCATCTACCCCGTATTTTTTGTTTATCATTTTGTAAACCAGTGTGTAATTGAGGCGCACAACGCTCAAACAGCTTAACCCACAATAAATCGAATTTCGTCTTTTTACGTTAAACATTTCAGAATACAATAATATTTCAAAATCAAATCGACCAAACCCTAAAAAAAAAAAAAAAGTGTTCCACTAAATGACAGAGGTTTATTTCGTTTGAATGACATTGGAAAAGTTTTAATGGGTTTTTTCTAATGGATTTCCGGGTCAATCTGTTTTGGAGCTGTGCGCCCCTCAATTATCAACAAGCTAAACGTGTTCGCTACCACTATAACACCACAGATTAAAATGAAAAAAACAGATGATGCACTTTGTCATTTTGCTGATAACTGAAACCCTCCTCAACTTAATGTGTGACCATTTTATCGAAATGAAATTATTGCATAAAACGTTTTATACTATGATATGTTATCAAATCATTTTTTTTTTTTTTACAATATATCGATGATAACAATCTATAAATTCAGTGATGCTCAGTTCTGAAACAATAATTTCTCTTAAAGAATTTTTTTTATTTTCTACCAGTGGTCACTCTGAGTTGAGGAAGGTTTTGGTCTGTTTAAATTTTTTAGCAATCACATTGCTCTAATCGGGAGTGGACTGGATCTGGTTTTATCTAATCTGCGATGGCACCGTGTGTTGCGGCTGAACCGTCGTCTGTGACCTCGGTTGGTCGTTACTATTGATTTGCAAATTTATCTGCGCCGGAGACTTTGCGGCATTGCTGCAGCCGTCTTTGACTAGCGTCCCACTGGCACTCTGGTTGGCGTTGTTGGTACCCTTGTTGGCCGCGCCACCGGATTGGTTGTTGTTGTTGTTGTTGTTGGTAGTGCCGCCACTGGGAATCGTAGTGTTGACGTCGCTCAGGTCCGGGTTGGGATTTTGCCGGGTGGGCAACGTTTGCTGGCGCGAACCCGTGCCGGCCGCGAGCAGTTCCCGCTCCTTGGTGTTCCTCCACTTCATCCTCCGGTTCTGGAACCATATCTTCACCTGCGAGTCCTTGAGCGCCAGCTTGTCGGCCAGTCTTTTCCTGTCGGGTTTGCTGATGTACTTCTGCAGCTGAAACCGCCGTTCCAGGCCTTTGCGCTGCTGATCCGAGAACACCGCGCGGCGCATCATGCCCCTCCTGGGTTTGCCGCGGGACGTGGGCGCGCCGATCCCGGCACCGCCGTTCAGATGGCCGGGATGCGGCACGGCGCCGTGGCCGTGATGCAAGTGGCCGCCGCCCTGTATGTGATGATGGTGTTGATGCGACTGATGGTGGACCGAGTGTATGTGGTGCAACGCCGCGGCCGTGGAATTCTGGATGTGTTGGTGCAGCGAGGGCGACTGGTGATGACCGCCGCCTCCGCCACCGCCGCCGCCACCGCCGTGGCTCTGCATGTGAGCGTGCAGGCTGAGTGCCCCGAGTACACCGTTCGTACCCCTGTTCCCGGCTCTGGCCACGGCCGCCGATCCCGCGGGTTGCGGTGGCGTTATCAGGGAATTCAAATGGGCCGCGGTCATCATGGACGCACCCCCGCCGTTCGCGGATCGACCAGCACTGTCCCCGTAAATGTTGGTGGCGGCATCTCCGGCGGTGACGGCCCAGGGGAATCCGCTGATCCTGCTGTTATGCATCAGCATGTCCTGGTGACGATAATGAACTTGGAATCCGTTGTTGGGGGCCGTCGGTTGTGGCGGTGTCGCGGTTCCTCTGCTATTTGCCGTTTGTCTCCCTGCAAAAACGACAACCATTAGCAAATTATTTACAAGATAATATTGTAGCGCCGCAACAACATGGATTCCTCTGATAGAGTAAACCACGCTTTGTTAATCAATAAACTGTAGGAAATTGGCTTTGCCTATCCCCTATTATCGTGGTTTATTTTTTTGCTAGGTCATCGAACCATACTTGTTCAATAAAACAATTTTATAAGCGTAATTTCTGGAGTTCCTCAAGGCGATCACCTCTCTCCTCTCCTATTTAATTTATTTATAAATGATGCTGTGTCCTCCATTACACACTCCAATCTCCAACATTCCATTATTTGCTGACGATGCAAAAATTTACAAATCTATTTCTTCCCTTGATGATATTAAACTCCTTCAAAGTGATTTAGCTGCATTTAACGAATGGTGCATTTCAAATGGCCTTTCAATTGAATATCGATAAAAGCCAAATTGTAACTTACTCCAAAAAGCACAATCCCTCTCATTTTAATTATCATATATGTGACATTAACTTGATTAAATATTTAGGGATTTTATTTGATTCTAAACTATTATTCAATGCTCATGTATCAGCGATAAAAAATAAAGCCTTAGCCGCATTTGGTATGATAAGAAGAAACTGCTCCGATTTTCATCATCCGCATTTCAAATGTCTATATACCTTACTAGTCCGTTCCTTATTAGAATACGCTCCATTTATTTGGGACCACAACAATGCAGGACATAATGATCAACTTTAACAAGGACAAAATAAAGTCCTCAGATTTATATATCATAAATGTAGTAATCAAAGAATATTGTAAAGTATGAACCACTACAAGTGTCGTACAGAGAAGAGTGAAAAATTCCGGATGGAAAAAGGCCACGTGGTCGCCCTCGGAAGTGGTGGACTGATGTTGTGGGAAAATATTTGTAAGATCTGGGAATGCGGATTAGGAGAGAGGTAAGTGGAATGATTTGGTTATGGTGGGAAAAATCTTGGAGAGTATTAAAAGTCGGAATATGAACAAATCAGTTGCAGCGTTTTAGAAGTGGTGACATGGCTAAGCAAGGTGAAACTCTTTTCACCACTGCTATTTATTATTGTGCTAGAGAAAATTATACGGAGCAAACAAAATTAATATATTCAATTTTTGCTGTTGGCTTGAATATAACTGGTAATGATAAAGAGAGTATAATTCAAAACACCTCATCTCTCATCATTGAAGAAAAATACATTGGGCTGCCTGTGAATGGTAATAAAACCAAAGTAATGGTACTATTACCAAACAGTTACCGTGACAATAATGTAGTAATTCAAGGACATACATTTGAAAAAGTTACCCAATTTACAGTAAATTTGTATGTAAATATCATTACAATATGTGTTTAAGTTTTGAGGTGAAACTTGCAAGGAATTTGCGGCCTACAACAAACCGAGCAATCTATGCTTCAAGCCAAACCAAATTAAACATATAAAGTATAATATACAGGGTAATCAATAATTGTAGTTTTACTTTTTGCCAACATTTATGTTATTTTTACAACGTTTATCTCTTTATTTTTAATTAAAAATGTTAATTAAGTATACCACACGTGACCATTTAAGTTTTAACAATTGACGGAGCTCTAGAAAAAAACATAAAAATAAAAAATTGTCCAATATTTTAAAACACCGTAAACTTACGTTGTTTTAAGAGAAAGTGAGTATCTACGTTGAAGTGATTACCCTGTTGGCAACATTTTCTGCTGCAATAATTGGCACAACTCAATTCAGTTGGACGATATTTTTGTGAAAAAAATGTCAAGTCGCTTTTTGGCTTTTTTGACATTATACGTTAAAACCGAAGAAATGTTTTTATTGTCTCCCGAAAAATCTATACTTTTGACCTTTGTTCTTATGTTCCTTCAATAGCTGCTAACGGTAGTGTTTAACATCGTATAGGTGTACACACCTATACGATTTCTTTCAAATGTGACTTAGTGAACGTTGTTCCGGTCTCCCCCACCCCCAAAAAAAAAAAATAATATTCCCAATGATTTTGACCGTGTTTTCTGGACCACCGTGCGGCGGCAGCATCTGCGACGCATCTGTTACTGATTTTTATTATTATCGTTTATCATTATTAAACGCGAAATCACACGTGTATAATATTATTAACTTGCGTCGCTCTCTGTCTCTTTCGATCTCGGTTGTGCGGCCTTTATTGTATTGTTATTATCATTATGCACCGGATACTGGCGCGTTCGTCTCCAATATGTCACCGCCGTGGCGAATGAATTTAATTATTCTTCAACGGCCCCCTTAACGCTAATCGGTCATGTTTGGAGTGTATATGACTGAAGAATAAGTCTGCGTATAATGTATATATTAATTTACCAAAGGCGAGGGGACCCCACAACGTTAGTAGTGCACAGCGTGCGTTTGACAGGACACATATATATATATACACATACATACATTATACACGGGGGAGAGAAAGAACGGCTAAACTGCTCTTCATCCGTTTATCCGCAACGTAAACAACATGGTTATATTATTTCTTATTTGTCTTGGTTTTTTTTTATATTTTTGTCACGTCAATCCCTTACACGTTTATTTGTACAAAACGACCACCGTTCGATCGAACATAAAAAAAAAACACTACTCATTTTCATACAGTTGTCAAGGAATAATATTGTAAATGTAAAATCTCTATAAAAAAATATTTTTTTATTATCTTATTTTCATAATATTATTTTATTTAGCACTTTTCCGCTCGTATATATTTTTTAAAACGTTATCAGCAGACAAAAAAATAATAAATAATAATACATATTTATTAAATTACTTATTTTATTGTTTTGTTAATAATACATTAATAAAACATTTTACAAAAGTATATTGTTCAATTAAACCGTACAATATTTACACGTTTTTTAAGAAAATAAGAACATAACTACAGCCATAAAAGTGATTGATTTATCTTAAGCGTGTAAGAAAATTTTGCAAGGTTCCTTTCAACACATTCATTATTAATGTGAGAAATGTAAAAGCGTTTGTACGACGTTTCAACTGAAATGCGTGTAATGATATTTATAAATATATATATATATTAATCGAAAACCGAATAATTATGGATAACAGCTAAATTAGTGGTGTTTAAAAAATTATAATCATTGGAAAATAGTTAGGTTAACAATAGCTGGAAAAAAGGTTACATGATCAGTATACAATTAATACTTTATAAGTGATATGATGTATTTATCAAAAATTGGACCTATTTACCATGGTAAACATTTATTTTACATTTTTTTTGTGATATGTTTATGACTATATTATACTAAATTATTTTTTAAGTTTAATTCTTTACCATTATAATTTAAAAAAACAAAAAAAAACCATACGAGTTTTAAAGTTATAACATTTACTGGTTATAATTTGTTATGCCTCCACACGTCAGTAAGTGGAAATTTGTCAGTAGTTAGAACTCATATGTGGATACATGACATATTGAACAAAGAAAAAATTCGGGACTACAATTTTTTAATTTTTATGTACTAGTTAAATCGTACGCAATCGGGTTCTACACAATTTTTTTTTTATTTTTCTAAAAGGTCGTCAATAAGACCATTTATTTATTTTTAGATAATTATGTAAAGAAAATATTTTATACCATATTAATATCGGGATTTTATTGATAAGATTGGCGTTTGGTAACTAGTGTGAAGATAGTTAAGCTTAGCTTTTTTAAAATAAATAATAATAATAATAATGAGACTAAAACCCCTTCTTTGTGTATTTAAATTGCACGCATTGAAATTGTATTTTTTACAATAAAATATAATAGGATATGTATTTTTTTTAAAATTATTATATTAACAGTCACGGACTAAACCGTTTTGACACAAAACTCATATCATTATCAACATGACTGTCGGTTATTATTTTCAAACCAATGTTTTTAGTGTTATACACAACAATAATGATCAATCTTATTATCAAAATTGCAAGTTAATTATTCGTGTGTTTTGTTTTTTGATATTTAGGTACATGTTTATTGTTTTAAAAAGTTATTGAAACTTGTATTACGATATAGAAATTTCGTTTTTGTTTCTTAAAGTCATAAGCTAAATATTTTTAAGTTGATGTATTAATTACATATACATTTATTACTAGATATTGATTTTTATAAAAAGATTCCGAATCAATGATACTTAAATACTTATAGTTATTATATTTTTTTATTTTGAATTATTTAAGTGTGATATTATTTGAAATATATTTTTTGTTTTTATAAGTATTAAAACCTAATCCTTTAGTTAAAGGGTTTTATTAAATTATATAATTAATTATTGTTCGTTAGGATTATGTGCCCATGTTGCTAAAATGTAGAGTTATTATTTTAAAATTGATATGATAATTACTACTATCGTTAATGAGTTAGTAAATCTAATTAATTTTATAAAAAATGTACAATTAGGTGATGTTAAATAACATCATGATTTGAGTGCTTTTATGGGTTCAATATGTATTGTTTTTGTATGCTAGGTCGGTATTACTAACGTGAAAAAAAATTCTCACTGGTATGACATTTGATTTATTTTGTTTTTCAAAAAAAAAGGTTTTGTCTAGTATTTTATTTGTGATTTTTCTGTCGAACGTTTGCCGAAATCGGCTCCCCCGAAACACACAGAACCTATTGACACGTATTATGACCATCTGGACGGAAGGACTTGGCTTTTGAGAACCAAAAACGTTCTGTAGGATATAACTCTACTAATCCAATAGCATATGTTTTTTTTTTTTTATTAGCCTCCCCTACTTTTTTTCGGTTCTTAGATCCGTCCCATGTCTCGGGAGGAGGGAATGTGGGGGAGGGGGGGTTGGACAAGACTCGAAATATATTATTATAATTTTTTTTTTTTTTTGTTTTGTACGGCAAGTGCGCGCAGTGCAGTGCAGAACTACACCCTTTTACAGCCCCGGCGGCAGCGGTGGTGCACGTGCCACGCGCTTGTGCAATTGACGCTCGTTCGGTTGCCTTTAACGGGCGCATCTCGCGCGTCAAAAACACACACCGCGGCGGCAGTACATTATACTTATCAATCTTATTATTAAATTTTCCACCCGGACCGAGCGCGCGCGCGATGACCATTAATTATACTATTATTTCATATATATATATGTATACATATATCGTGTAAGTCTGACGAATTTTCGTTGTTAGTGCGTAGATTAATCACGCAAACTTATGCCGCCGCTCTCTCGAACCGGTCGGTGTAATTAATAACGCGAAAGTTTTTGCGAAAAAGTTCCATCGAATCCGCGAACCGTCTAATCTGCGTGCAGGTCGTACATCGTCATAATTATTAACAGATCGTGTATTCGACGACGAACACTCCACCCACCGCGTGGTCGCGAACGGTAAAACGATTTTACGAAACAAGCGAAAAGGCCAAATGCGCAGTGTGAGCGGAATCGAAAAAATTACATTTTGAGGCGCTCAGATGCCAAACCGCGATTAACTGCACTTTTTTCGAAATTGCGAATAACACCACGGTCGGATTACGAAAGTGTACAATTTTCAGTGGCCAAGATAAATAACTCCGTGGTCGAATTTTTCACCACTAGAGTGCGCTAAGAAAATTGGCAATTGTGTACTTACATACATTGTTTCAAATAACTTTAACTGCCTGTCCCGAAAAATTTCATTTTATCGGTGTTAATCAGTTTGCCATCTGAGCGCTTCACTTATCAGTTGTAATATTATCACATTGCCGTATGAAATTTGAATATTTATCTAACGATCTGTATAGTTGACAAGCAGTATAATATACTGTGCAGTATTCAACGACTTATAGAAAAAGTGATATTTAATGTGGTCACACTGTTGCTCGTCTTCTTGATTACAGCTATTTTTTTTTTTATTGAGATTCTGCATATTACAATTTATCTCGACAATTACATAAAATTTAACAATAAATGAGTGGCTTAAAGATGTATACAAAATTAAAACAAAACTTAACGAAATTCATTAAATAGGAAAACCAGCCTCGATAATAAAGGAATTAATGTGTAGGATGGGAGGTTCGGAATTAAAATTGAGCATAGAATGGATATTAAAAGGAATGTTTAAAGTTCTAAAGAAATTAGCTAAACTATCGCGTTCAGGTGACAAAGAGGGACGATTAAAACGTATATGAAGAAATAGACTTCTCAACGTGAAGAGTACACATAGGGGAGTCGTTTAGATCTAATTTGTAGGCGTGGGAAAGTAACATACAATGACCGATGCGTAAACGATTAAAGCGTACGATCGTAGACCTAGGTAAGTTTAAATTCTCAAACCAGATTTTATTGAGAATATTAGGGACAATAACTTTGAATGTAGAAGCAAAGTTTGCAGGTAGGTTATTCCAATAAGAGGACCAAACAATTTACAACGTGACGTCGTAAGATGGGGTGAAATCAGACCAAGGGATTAAGGTGGAAGGAGGAATTGTTAAATTTGAAGAAGATTTGGCCAGACCATCCGCCAGGATTGGTACAATTGAAAAAGAATAATTTTAATACCAAGAGTTATTGGAGAAAGACGGGAATTAAAAGAGTTAGATTTAAGAGATAAAATACAGGACAAAGAGTCAGAAGCAATTAAGTACTTGTTTGGGGGCAAAAAGGAGATCAATATGAGAGCTTTTTAGAATGGCGAAACATTCAGCTGTAAAGGAAGAGGCGGAGGAAGGAAGGTTACCGGTAAATAAAATATGTAACTTGGGAATGAAAAAAGAATAGCCGGTAGATAGCGGGGAGACAGAGCCGTCGGTGTAGATGGTAATACAATTTGAGAGAACTGAATCCAGAAATTCGGAGAAAAGATAATTAACTACATTAGGATAGGTGGATTTGAGGTCCACTAGGGAGGAATATAGCATGAAATTATGAATGTGAATTTGGGGAACATAAAGAAGAGAATCGTATGTATGTTCGTAGAGAGGGTGTTTATTGAAATTTAAGATGTATTGTTGGAAAGAAGAAATGGAGTTTGCAGTCAAAGAAAGAACAGGAAGTGATAATTTCAGCTCTATATTATAATATTGTTTTTCTTTGTAAATACCTGACGCGTTTTGCATAGATGCCGGCGACGGGGGTGTGGTACAGCACGAGGTATCGCTGCCGGGTTGCCTTTCGTTGGTTTTCTCCTTAACGCCGTTTGCGTTGGCGGCCGCGGCCACAGCAATAGCCAACAGAGCCGAACTGCTGTGGTTTACCCGAACAGTTTGCTGCTGCTGCTGCTGCTGCTGTTGCTGCTGTTGTTGGTTAGGTCTCCTCGCGATGGGTTTGGCTATGATCGCAGACGCCGGTGTCGTTTCGGGTGTCGCGTGGTAATGTTGGTAGTACTGCAGGGCACCGTCGATGCCTAGATATAACCAGAAAATATAACAGTTAATTATTAAATAAAAAGCAACAAGTTTGGGGGGGAAAAAAACAATCTAAACCAGCGTAGTTTGAAACCAAGACGTACAGTATAATTCAGTACCGGAAGATGTTATAACAAAGTCGGGTGAAAGCGGTAATTACTAAACCTAAAAGTGATATCATCACAATCAAACGCCTCGATGCGAATCTGTGAATAGTAAAAAATCCAGCACGGTATAAACCAGTACAGTCAAAATCGAGCACAATCCAAACCAGCACAGTAATAAATTACTAATATTAGACCGTATCGTTAATAATTTCAAGTTAACAAACCTAGTACAGTGGGGTTGGGGCATAGTGGAAACGGGGAGGTCACCGGTCTACAGGAAATTATTATAACTGAAAGTGATAAAATCACTTTTTAATAAACGCTTCGACGCGAATCAGTGGATAGTAATTGACCGAAAGTGATAAATTACGGTAAATGAGTAATTTTTCCCTTATTTTTGACTATAATAAAAACCATAATAATTTATAGTTTATATTTAAATTATTCTTGTATTTCGGCCGACATTTGAAATTGACCTTTTTTGATTTTTTGAATTCACACAAGCATATTGTATACATAATAATGCAATAGAGCACAATATACAGCATGGCAAAATTGTATTAGAAAAGGTGTGGATCAAACCGGCAATGGAAAAACTGCGTTTAAGTTTATGAACGAGTGCTGCGAGTGTAAATAAGGTCAAGTTATAATTCTTGTCAAATGTATATTTCTATAAATACCGCGATGCAAGAAGAATGACCATATCTGTTGAGCGAATTATGTTTATTTTTTTGTTCAAGCGAAATTTAAACGAAGGTCGTCGTTGTATTTCTGTAAGCATTTCGAGATGACACAGTTTTAAATCTGGTCGAGCTGTTGACGAATAAAATTTTATATGTTTACAACAGCTATTGGAATTACAACGACGACACTGCAAATTTCTCTGAAAACACTTCAACTCATCCTTTAATAACACTTATCATTCTGTTTTCAACAAGACTGTAATCAATAACAGTTATTATAAAGTCGCGGTACGTTTAAAATTTAACAAGTTTGAAACATGGACGAGATACTCTACAAAATTATATTGGAAAATAAAAAATATGTCATTGCTTCAAAATTACTACATTACTTTCGAAAGTACCTACTACGTTACTGTTTGTTAGCAGTGAAAACATAATTATTTATTTTATATTGAAATTAATTATTTTTATTTAATATGCGTTGTAATATTGAGTTATTCTACTAACTGAAAAACTAAAGACCATTTTTTTTAAAACTAATATTACATACATACAGGGTGATTCATTAAAGATAAAACGCGCACATTCTCTTCAAATAATTGCAATTTTGTAGTTCTACTTTTCGCAGTTCTTTCTTTACAACTGTGTGCAAAAACAAATAGTACTACACTCCAAGTTCTCTTCCATCCACTAGTTGTTCTTAATTTAACTAATTAGTTGAGTATATAGGTTATCATTTAAGATGCATACATACATTCAAATGTATATACACATATATTATTTTACTGTTTTTGCATTATTTTGATTGTACTGAACTTTACCAGTACTTTTTGCTCTTTAGGGCTTTTGTAGTATAAATAAATAGAGATTCAGATAGAGTTGTAAAAAATACTAAAAAAAAAAAAATGGTAAATCTTTCAACACTGTTAAATACCATAAACTGAATAGCGTCTCCAAAAAGGAAAACTGCACAATGGAAATTATTTCGATAGGAAACGGTTGGCCTTGTCGTTAAATTCATAGCCTTAACTTAATATACATTTTTTTTTGTCTACGCAGAATTAAAAACCACCATACGAACAACACGTTGAAAACCGTGCAAGCACAGTAAACATAAATATTTTAGCCGAATCCCTTTTTGTGAACGCGTGCCAGAGAATTTGTATAATAATAATATTAGCCGGAGTACGCATAATGGGTAAAACATGCAATTCGTCGGCGTTCTAATATTACACTCCAGTGTTGTTTCCGAAAATTCTCAGACAGTATAGTTTTGTATATATATATATATATATATATATATACACATACATATTATATTTGTACAGGCTTTAATCGTTCGGGGAACAAACGTTTGACTCCATTGCCGTTGTCGTTGACCGCACAAATTGTAATTCTATACACTTGTATTTATCGCCATTAGCCGTGGTAATAACAGTGTAGTAATAATATGTAACGATACCGCTCTGCGGTAGCTTAAGTAGTATCTTGTTACCATACATACAGTATGAAACGCCTTTATTTGCCTCTGCTTTTAAGTGCCCAACAATCGTATAATAAGTTATCCGTTTTGGCCTCACCCACCCCGACCCGAGCACAGTCCTGCGAGTGACGTATCGTAAATCTTCCCCTTTCACATTCATCCCCTATCCTCGAGCTCCCTGCCCCTCGGTTCACCCTGTCCTTTCACACGCCACCGGGCCGCCTCCGTTCGCTATAATATTGTTATTATTATTATTATTATTATTATCGTTATACGCTATTATACAGTACCTATCTGTTTTTTTTTTTTATTATTATTATTGCCTGCGCCTTTTATAATACGTTGGTACAAAAAAAAAAGCTATCGTTGAAAACGCACGCCAAGTACAAAACTAAGATGTTTTACCTAACTCTTCAGTTGCAAGAAAATGTCTCTGAAAATATGAATATTTTGCGAATTTTTTTCCCCCTATAGTTGTAAGTAAATAGTTTACTACATTTTTCAAAACTTAGACGGTTTTTATCTTCATCCCTTTTGTCTACTTTTAGTTACACATTTTACTACATTTTTCAATGTTTTTATCGCCAATCCTTAAAAGCTGAAAAAAGGGGTAATTTTTTTTTTTTTAATAGCAATATATGTTTTTAATTACGTACACTTGTAAACGAAAAATCAAAAAAATATGTTAGCGTTTGAATTTCGAATTTTCATGAATTTGTTCATTTGTTATGACTTTAGAAAGATTTGATTTTTTTTACTGTATTTCTTAATATTTTCAATCGTTACTACAAAGACGAGTAGTTTCATTACAACATATGAAAATAATTTGACGTGTTACCGTACTCTGTATCAGATATAATAAATAATCTGTAGATAAGAACCGTTTATCAATAATTTTTTCAAAATATTTTTATAGTGACTTCCTAATTGTTAGAATTTTATCGCCAATTGGACAATGCGAACAGTATTATGAATTTTATGTGCTACCGGGTTTGGAGTCTTTTCCAACATTTCCACTGTTTTCGGCCGAGCGAGCTATCTGTTTTCATATTATTATAGTCTGTGGTATTGTTTTTACCATTTGTTTTTATTTTTGTGTCTGCACAACGATAATAGCTTCTAAAATGCTGAACCGGTTTCTTCGTGTAGCAATTCTATAGATCAGAAATCATACCTGAAGGGTTTTTTATTGGGACCAAAATTAAAAAAAAAAATCACCCTTCGCCTTCAAAAAAGTCGAATTAGTTCCGAATGTGTAAGGAAATATTCTTTAAACCTCGTAGTACTACCGTTAAACGTTGACATTTTTGTATTATTTCGCTTTTTTAGGTAAAGTTTTAGGGATTAAGGTCTGACAGTTATAGGCGGACGATCGACTCTAATCGTATCTTAAATACTAACACTACGTTTTTAAGCAAATTATTGTCATTGAGTACAAAGACTTTTATCGATATTTGTATTTCTATCATACCGGTACCATAGCACCGAAGCGTTTATTTGAAAGTGATTTGATCACTTTCAGTTGTAATAACTCATATTATAGACTTGTGACCTATATCGCCCCAGTATGATTTGTCGCCACTATGCCCTGACCCCAGTGTTCTGGCTTTTTTTTAACAAGGTATAAGATATTATACATTTGGGATGAGCAATTTAATGTATTTTAGCAGTGTCAGATTTGTCTTAGGTCCGTTTGAGGTTAGATTTCGATTAGTTAGGTTGGATTTGGTTTGGTTAGGCTCCAACTATTGATGGACAAATTCTTAATTTAAATAGAAATTTTTAGTTACAGAAAAGGACGTATTAAAGACAGAATAAAGCATAATGTGCTTTGTTTTGCACACTCCACGTGAAGGGCAAAGATGGTAAAGCAGGGAGGTAGGGGGAGTCAATGTGAGCTTATCGAGAGAAGTGATAAAATACTGAGAAATAAGTGATAAGAGATAAGTGTTACTGTACTACAATGAACCGCAAAACCATGTCAATGATTCAATGTTTTACCGTGGAGCGATTTATAAAAAAACGATTTATAGTCGTTTTTGGACTAAGAAGGTTCAATTGAATGAGAACAAATGATAATAATCTTACCTTGTGGCGAAGCAGCGGCCGCCGCGGCAGCCGCTGCGGTTATCCTCAAGAAGGCGGCCGAAGCTAAGTGCTGCTGAGGCGGCGGTGGTACATAACTTCCCGTGCTGCTAGAATTACTCGCACTGCTACTGCTCCTGCAGTCACCCAAAATGGCGTTCACGCTGAAAGTGATCTTCCTTTCTTCTTGTCCGTGTCGAGTGCTCGAACAGTGTTGTTCCATTACCGTTTCGTCTATCAACACATGTATCAATAGCAATAATATTAATACATGTTGGTCCGTTTATCGCAATACACTAAAATGATCAACAAACAACTACTTTGTAGCTCTCCTCTAGGAGACATTTTAGATAATGTTATTGTTGTTATACGTTAGACAACGTGTAATATTTTTTAAGTTGTTATTTTTTTTTATAATTTTATTGTTATTAGTTAGCACGAATTTGGTAAATTTTCAAACAATATAGTTTCAGCCACGAAACAAGTGCAGTCAAGCGGTGCATCGATAACATTACCGGCAACCTCATCCCCAGCAGTTTATACTTTTAAATGACTCAAGAAGTAGGATTTATCCATAACTGATTTCATACCCACCGTGTGTATTACATAATTCTGCTGTCCATAGGTAAATCTAATGCAAGGTGATTGGTAGGATCGGCCTGCCAGGGCGGGGCTAGTTAACACAATACGTGGAGTTTGCTGTGGAAAATACTACTATAAAGTTGCAGGTATATTTTCAAACAGTAAACAAACCCATCTATTTCATGTAAGGTCTATGAGCTTAAAATTATTAAAAATGGTAACATTTATATTTAATGAACTTTTTAAATGAAGAACGATTTGCTGAAAGTGTTGACTGGTCGATAACCAGTTTTGTATAATTACTTTTAGATCTACTAAAGTTTAACATTCAGAATTGGTGGTAAAAACAATACTACTCTCCACCCTCGTTTCCGTCCTAAATTTTTCACTTTAATACATCAATATGTATTTAATACTTAAGTAGTGTTTTCATTTATTCTTTTTCAAACTTTTATTAGTTATTAGTTATTCCAAATTTTGTAGGTATATTTTCAAACACTATACAAACCTTATGTGACAACAACCTAACGAACTTATTAAATGGTAATGTTTATTTTTAATTTACTTTTTAAATTAAGAATGATTCGCTGAAAGTGTTGACCGGTCCATAATAACGTTTTGTATAATTTATTACTGATGTTTAAAATTTAGAATTGGTGTGTAGGATGCGCGAGTGTAATGGGGGCAAATAAAAATAATACTACAGTCCCCTCCTACCGTCCTAAATTTTTAACTTTCAATTTATTAATAATAATGATATTTATTTATTTTTTAAAGATTTATCTATATATTTTATCCTTTTTTTTTTTAATTTCAAACATTTTACTAAACATTTTTACTGGTAGATACAGTTTCAAATCATTATTTTTAACTTTAAGCAATATAGTCCATATTGAAATCAGCATATTGACCACTTTATTTTTTATTGTTACTTATTTGTTAGCGCGTTATAAGCATTTGAAAAATGTACAATCTTAATTCCCAAAAAAAGTATCGCCTACAGATTGTAATGTATACACAACTTTAGAAGAGACCCAAGGGCAAAAATTACAATAAAATAAGTTAAGTACCTTAACTTACATAATAATAATAATAGCTTTTTAGTGGTTTATTGTGTATTGTGAGCGGTTATTTTTTAAGTATTTCAAAATAGGAATAGAAAAATTCCTTGTTGGAAGGATTCCAGACAAGATGGCTCTCAAATACCTTACTGCAGTTATAATTGGGTCATTCCATGCCAAACTATAACGAGTTATACATTTTATTAATTATGGTTTGATATTTTTTTTTTGCAATACCCTATTAATAAATAACCTACTAACAGTTTTATTTTGTTTTTCAATTTATATGGTTTTCAAGGGAAAACGAATATTTAAAAGCCTACTTTTCTTAGATTGATAATTTTAAAAAAATAGATAAATTGTTTGCCAACGATGGGACTATTTAAATGGTCAACAATTGCCGACACCGATTTTTAAAGAAATAAATTATTACTAAAACCTATTTAAACCTCAAAACTAAAGGAAATAATTGGAATATTATGATAAAAAGTGTTTAATATTACTAAAAAGGATCCATTATAACAAACATTTTATTTTGTGAATTATTCTCAGCTGAATTACTGAATTACCATTGAGTATAGAACCTAAAATATTTAGTTCAGGTTAAACTGTATAATCTCCCTAACAACAACTTTATCACTTACTATATATTATCTCCAATTTAAAGTATTAAATATCATTTACGCTATTATGAGGAGAAATTATAATTAATTTTTTTATAATATTAATTGATTTTACATTCCAAAATTTTAATGTAACTATGCTTATTAAGAAATTAAGCAAAACCTTTCTAAATAAGTGAAAATAACTAAATTTTTAAAAAAATTCAATATTAACATATATTTTTGTTTTTTTCTTCAAAATTAACGAAAAGTAAGTACAATTTAATCAAATTATTGTAGAATTTTTTGGAAGGAGTGACAGAGTCAATCAGGCCTTCCCTCTCATAAGATAATTTTTTTAAATCCACCAAAACCTAAAGTAAGTTCGTCAAATTATTTACAAATAAATGCACTATAATGGCATAGGTAAGTTGGAAAGGTAAAGTGAAGTTACTGTTGTACAGGGTGGTTTTGTTAAGTGATCCGCTTAATATCTTGTTGGGGTTAGTTATTAAATTGTTTTATTTTTTCATAGTGTTTTTGTACAATGTGATATCAAATAATCATACAATTTTATGTTCTTATCCCCTTCTATATCAAATAATTATGAAACTTGGTAACATAAGATACATTTTTGTTAACTATTTGAATTGAAAACGTTTTACTAAATAACTTTTGAATGGTCGATAACCAGTTTAGGGTGATTTTTTTTATCATGATTTTGGCATATATAAATGGTGTCAACAAAGTTTTATGTATTTAAATTTAAATACAAACATTTAATGTTCTGCTATTGCTTTTTATTTAAAGAGAATTGTCTATTGGGTTTAATTTTTCTTTGGGCAATTTTAATTTAACAAGAGTAACAACAGTACATAAAAGCAAAATTTGACTCCAAACTTTCTTTCAATGATCATGTACCTACATTTTATTAGGAATAAAGCACATTTTAACATTTTAGAAAGCCATTGCAAACAAACAGATTGATGATAATTAAAAACTCTAAAGCTAACATTTTTTTTTTAATATTTTGTCTACATGTTTGTGGAGTTGAAAACATATGTTCCTGTTTGAAAACAACAAAGTCCATACCTCTTTTACGTATGATGGATGAAGGTAAAAATTGTCTAAGTATTTAAATAAATAGTAATATATCAATATATGAACCATATACATCCATATTTTCCGAAAAAAGGAGCGTCTTACAGGAGACCCTAAGTACCTCCGAATCGCAAATAGATAATGTGTTTTGTAGTAGATTTATACCTATAATTATTAAAAAAAAATTTATAAGACACTAAACATGTTTTTTGAAAAAAATAACACAACACTTTCTATCAGTGTTGGAAGTAATCAATTACAACAATTTAATCGTGATTAAATTAATCATTAATCATCGAATAAAAAATTATTACATTAACTGTTATATTGTAATCATAAAATTATTAAAAATGTAATTTAGATTAATAATTTTAAAATTTCAAAAAATCAATTATTTTATCTGAACTATGTTGAAATGATATTTCAACAATATGCACATGAAATACAATTCAAATAGAATGTATTTCTGGAAAACGCTACCTAAATGCTTTCTTTGATGTCTTTATACTTGCTTACAATTATGATTAATGTAACCATGACTATAATATTACATGATTACAGTAATCATACCTACATGATTACTTTTCTGACTATGATTACATTAATCTAACACTATAATTACTGATTACAGTTATCATTAATCGTAAATGAGATTACAATTTGCCCAACACTGCTTTCCATGCGACGTTCCTGTCGACCTATATGTTATTGCATTTTATTGTCGTTACAGTTGTATGTATTTATTATACAGCTGTCCTTGTTAAATATTGAAATTTTTTAATTAAAAAACTGTACCAATTTTGAAAATGTTCATAATTTCCGAGAAAACGAGCGTCTCGTGTGAGAGATGGACCACCCACCCACCTTGTATTGCTGAGATACTTTATGTATATATTTTACGAAAAATACTCGAAACTGGAATTGATTCTCTTGGCAAAAAAACATTATCACGATAAACTCTCACCGTTTTGTTCGTCGGTACTGCTAGCCGTACTGCTGCTGGTCGTACTGGCCGTCCTTCTCCTGGGAACGGTCCTCTTCCTCCTTCTGGCTTTACCGCCGCCGCCGTCGTCGCCGTCGCCGTCGCCGCAGTGGTCTTGGTCTTTTCCCAAAGACTTGGGGCCGTCGGTTTCGATGCCGTCGCCATCGTCGTCGTTATTGTTGTTGCACGTTATCAATAGGTTGTGTATCAGAAACGACGTGGAAGACGTCCGGTACCGGTTCTCGTACTGTTGCAACTTGGTAGGCGGAACCGGGTTGTCCGTCGAGTTCTGATTGTCACCTCTCTGTTCGCCCAATATACGACCTCCTTGGTCATCTTCGACCGTTTGCACCGGTGACCCCGCCGGCGTGGACGCGATCAGGGTGGCCGGCAGCATGGCAGGATGGCCAACCGAACGGATCTAAAAAACCGAGTACAACACATCAATGGCATCGGGCGAATCTTCCGCGAACCGCTTAGACGTTATTCATTTTTTTTTCATTTTTTTTTTTTATTTAAAACAATATAATCAATTTACAATCTGTTGGACTAAAACGACGAGCGAATCTGATGAAAAAATCGTTTATAATGTAAACACACACACACGAATGATCTGAATATCATCACGGGGCTGTTCAACATTTTACTTGTAATAATTTAGAACAAAACGAAAAGCAGGACAAATGCTTGGCAAAAGGATTTTGATAGTCATTCTCGATACGCCATGGAGTCACACCGCTAAAGAGTGTCTTAGACTAAAATATAGGAACGCTTGAAGAGGACGACTTGCGGAAGGTTTGGCAAGAAATTAGGCATAGAAATTAGGACTTTGCGGTTAACACATAATGTGGATTTAAGAATCGGTCCAAGCAAAATAAAGTCGTTATTACAGTCGTTAAATACACACATATTAATCGTATTATAATAACTATCACACGGTAATATTATATAATCGCAAAATAATAGAACACACGGCGTGCCGCAATATCCTAATGATACCATCTGGTTATATTACGCCGCTACGCTTTATATTATTACAGCGATTGTAATTTAACTACATACACGTGAACCGTGGATCTAGGATAAGACACCTCTTAAAATAATTATTGCGATTCCATAGTGTTTCTGTTTGAAACCGAAATTTGTGTTGTTAGTACCTTTAAAAAAAGTTTCTATCCAAAATTGCTATTATTTCGCAAGAGGATACGGGGTGTCTTGTCCTTAAAAAAAAAAAAAATCGGTTCGCATAAATATAATTTATATATTTTCTTTTAGATTTCGCCACACTCACTTTTTTGTCGAATCGCACTTTGAATACGACGACGATGATGACGATGATGATGACCGCCGGTAATTGAATAATTTAATTTAAGTATACACTCCGCAAGACTCTCGGATCGCACGGGCCGCCGATTGGACAACAATACCCGTCGTCATAATGGCCGGCAATCGACGGTTGTTATTACCAATGTAATTATGATTGTTGTTAGCGTTGTAGTAACGTTGCGGATACCGTTATAAAGGCACGTCAACGACTCGGTGTCGTCGAGGAGTTCGTACCGTACTGAAGCCGCAAGGGACGTTTTGCCAGAGGGATGCTTGGAGTACACGCGACGGCGCTTAACGCCAAACTACCCACCCCGTCCGTTTGTCCGTCTCCGTCCAACCCTCATTGTTCCTCCCTTATCCTTTTGGGGTTCTTTTGTTTTTTTTTGTTTTTTTTTTTCCACCCCCAAAAGGGACTGTCAGCTGCAGCTACACACAACGGGCACTGCGATAATTTCCCGACGGCCATCGCGATGGGCGGAGCCGCACGTTTCGCCCTTAAACACACACACACATCTCTTTCCCTTAACCTTATCCTTACGTCTCATCCCGCCGCCCCCCCCCCTTGCCCTTTGTTTGTTTGCCGTGTTACGTCGTACACCGACAATACGGTTTATACGAACAAACGGTCAACAATAGTACTATTACTGTTATTACTGTTTGTCGGCACCGAATGCGAATATAAAACACATCTTCCGTACCTACCCCCCCGCCCCCCCCCCCATAAAAGGGTTATACCGGTTTCATGACGCAGACGTTGTTTCTGCGGACATAATAATATTATTATTGTCTTGACTAAAAAGTTTCAAACGAAATATCCGTTATTGTATTATTATTATATTTAACGACCGGCGGCAATAATTACTATCCGAGTTTAAAACATTATTAATGGGCGACTGTTAATATTCAAATGGCGACCCTACCGCAGTGTTTAAATACTTATTATTATATAAAGTTTAACGTTTAAGGCGGAAACAAAGGTGGAGAGTAGTATTGTTTTTATCTGCGCGCACAATATACACTCTATACCACTGAACTCTCGGTTATCGATTAGTCGACATTTTTCAGTAAATTATTCTTAATTTTAAAAGTTAATCAAATATAAATGTTACCGTTCGATGATTTTAAGCTCATATGGTTTTACTCAAAAGGAATGGGTTTGCATACTGTGTGAAAATATACCTACAGAAATCGAGCTAACTAATAACTAACAAAAGTGGGAAAAAGAATAATTTAAAAAAGTCCAATATCTTTTAATATACTGGCTGGCTCATAGTTAACCTATCACCAGGGTCAGCACCTAAAGGGCCCCAAAAAAAAATTGTATTTGTACATTTATACAATTTTATAGTGGGAGTTCCATCTTACCTATAGTGTTATTTGGCTATGCCTTGGCCCGGACGATCCTTCCAATCACCTTGCATTAGATTACCTATGAAAAACAGAATGATGGCTTAATACACATAATAATAATTGACACATAATGACTGGTAGATAACAATAAAAACACTGTAACGTGAAATTTGAAGCACCTTGTATAATGAAAAAAGAAAATTACAATATTACCTAGTGCTAGGTAATTCTACACAGGGTGTTTTGCCTACTTTGTGACGGGAAACTTATTTTTATACATTTTTAACACAATTTTAAGTTAGAAAAAAAACCTGAGCATAACTAGAAAATACATAAACAACATTATTGTGCAAACCAAAACACATTAGAACGAGATGTCCATTACATGGGTTGCCTCTAATGACACAACATACTATTCACAATGAGTCAATTGATATTCTTAACTAAAATAAACGTAACAAGAATTAGGACCTACTTTCAAAAACATCCATTTTTATATGGTCTTTAGCTATCAAAATTCAAATGAAACATACATAATATTAGATATTAGGTATAAACATTTGTAAATTACATTATAAGAGGGAGAACTGCTACAATTATATTTTGTAGTTGGTCGATAACTAGTGTAGTTAAATTATGGTATTTACGTTAAGTAAAAGCATACAAAAAATTAATAAAATATTTGCATTTTTCAGCCTAAGATTAAAAAAATATATCTGTAACTTTACACCCTTTCTCGCAGAAGGGGGAGGAACTTTTTCTTCTTAATATTTCTTTTTTTTTTGCGCATTCTTAGTGTTTAATATGAATAAGTGTACAATAATTTGTTCAACATTTTTTTATCTTATTTTATACACTACGGCGTAGGTAACGTTATACCTTATAATAACTATTTTGGCAAAGAAACATATTATTTAAAAATATTTTGCACGTTTAAGATGACGTTTCACGCGGTTTAATGATGTTGTTTTTTTTTCTAAGCCCACAACTGAGTCGTTAAAAGAAAATATAAAAGGAACCAATTGAGTGTATACGTTCCACAAGCAATGTTCATTTAAAGAACAAGACGAGACAAAACCCGATTTCAGTCCAGTCGCAGTCGGTCTAATAATAAAGCAGATAAATTCAAAACTAGTCGGGGATATTGAAGTGAATCCAAAGTGTATATGAAACAACGAGACGGGTCGGGCGGCATCGAGTTAATACTTTTAACCAGGTCATTGCTAACACTATATTTTGTAAACTATCATTGGGCTATTTATAAAAAATTACAAATTTTAATGGCGAATAACAGAATTTTGCATACCTACTATCAAAAATCCTTCCGACGCGTGCGCGGCCCGTGACCAGTAATTTATTTATAGACGTGTTCGTTATAGATAATAGATTATATTTTAATAACGGGCCAACACAAATTGCTTGTATTCAATGATTTTTTCAACGAAAAAATTACACGAGCTGTTAAGCTTCTAATAAAACCCTCACTGTAATTTAATTATTGATAAAAAATCATATTATATTATATTAAAACGGTAATCGTTAACACTCTCAAATAGCAACATAGATATGTAAATATATATTTTAATAATCTATAAAAAAACAGAATTTAGTAGTGAAAATAACTTGTTAATAGTCAAGTTTCGAATTGTGTTAATATTATTAGCGTTTAAAGTTGATGGTTACATTAAAATGTTAGTATAGTTATAAAAAAAAAAAATCCAATAATTTTTTTTTCAACTCATTTTTTTAAGACAAGGACATGCCTCTTTTCTGCAGTGAACTTTGTAAACATTTTTATTTTTAATACATTAACATAGCACCCATCCCCACTCTAGCAAATTTTAAACACCAAACAAAAATATTAATATTATCTTTAATTATTATTTTTTCGGGCTATTGGTCATATTGTAAAATAGGCATAAAATTATTAAACAAAATTGTGATCTTCATAAAACACTGTTTGATCATATTAGGAAATTGGGCCAATTTAAAATTATTATTAAAATAAAAAGCGTATTACAATCGTGTCGTTTATTGTAAAAGTGAATTATGTCCTTGTAATTAAATTTCGAAATAACGAGCTTTTTGTAAACTAATGTTTAGTAAAACAAATACAAGTAACTATTCGGTCAATGTTTTCTACTTTTTATTTATTTTTCATTTAAAATATGTATATTTTAAAAATTTGGAGTAACACCACTTTTACAATAAGCGACATTTATATTTTACTTTTTTTTTAAATTAAAATATAATACATTATTAAGAATATATTGTAACGTATAAATTTATGTAAGTGTTTGTATTATTCATTGTTAAAGCAATATGGACTATATTGCTTAGAGTTAAACAAGTAGTGACTATTTGTCTAGCAGTAAAATTTTTTAGTAAATTGTTTTAAATTGAATAAGTGGATAAAATATATAGATAAACCTTTTAAAAATAAATAAATATTATTATTATTAAAATTAAATTAAATTTCAAAATTTAGGACGGTAGGAGTGGACTGTAGAATAATTTTTATTTGCCCTCATTCGCGCATTCTACACACAATTCTAAATTTAAACATAAGTAACTCTAAAATAATTATACAAAACGTCATTATCGACCAGTCAACACTTTCAGCGAATTATTCTTTCTTTAAAAATATCAATAAAATATAAACGTTACCATTTAATGGTAAAACAAAAGTAATACTTTTAAGTTCATAGGTTCATATACCTGCATTTTTATAGTAGTATTTTCCATAGCAAATTCCACGTATTGTGCTGATTAGCCCCGCCTCTGCCCGGCCGATCCTGCCAATCACCTTGCATTAGATTTACCTATGGACAGCAGAACTATGTAATACACACATAATGAATGGTGGATAATATTCATCGTACTTCTTTGGCTGTTAGCATTTAAAGGTAGATGTATATAGACTGGGGGGTGAGATTATCCACACGCACCAGTCGCCTGTCACTTCTCTCCTGGTCAGAATTTTAAATGTTTGCAACTGAAAGTGTATTTGTTTATTCGAAACGGATTAAAACTGTCTTTTGACCGTTTCGTTGGAAAATAATCACTGCAGCCGTAACAGTTGGCGGCTCGTATTGTATTTTATTGTTGTTTTCAATACTAATATTATTATTATTAGTTTTTCTCGGGGGTTTTTTATCTATTTTTTTTTTTCTAGTCGTTCGGTTCAGTATAGTCGCGTGACCGTGATTGTGGTTATTAAAAAATCGTTTCGGTCGACGTTTTGCCACGATGTTAATAATAGATATAAAAAACGCAGGAGAGGCGGATTAGTCAGCTTTGTATTATTATTACACACGTGTGCCACCGTATGGAGGTGCGGCGCCGGGTGCACGCAATGTGTTGCACACAAGGTCCCACTCGCTACTCCTTCCGGCGGAATCTCTCTCTGTGTGTGTGTATATATATATATATATATATATATGTATAAAAGGGACGGCGATCCCTGCGAAAAGCTTGTAACAACCGACAACGGCCGCGGCTTTTAGTCTCTCACTGGCCGGCGTTCTCTTCTTGGCTGCTGCTGCTCGATCGGTTCAATTGAAATAACAAATACAACGGATATCCGTCGCAGATCGAGTAATCGAGATTCGTTCACGCCAAACAACACCATGGTCTACTCCAGCGATTTCTACACCAGCCGCAGGCCCGCCTACTACAAGCCTTCCACTTCATACTCCATCACCGTGAGTATATAAAACATTTTTTTTTTTTAAATTTATTTTGTTTTTTTGCTCTTAAAAAAAATATACATATACTTTTTTATATAATAATTTATACAAAAACAAATCACAATTATTGATATATATATATATATTCATATATATATACATACACAAGTAAACCGTTGCAGTAATTACGTATTTTGTACTCAGACGGTGTAGCGCAATCAAATTTATCTAGTATTTTGTTTTTACTTTTTCAATTTTTTTTTTTTTGGTAAAAATATGGTTTTAGTATTTTTTGTTTGTTTTTTAAACAACGACGACGGCGATTTTACACGGAATAAACTTACCATCTATTCTTAACACCTATTCACCACCCATTTGTACATACACCCGATTAAAAAAAAAATTTTTAAAAACGACGATCACGACTAATACTAATAATATTATTATGTATTTATAGCTGTTATTATTGTTTTCGAATTAACTATATATATATACCTATTATTTTATTACACCTAAGCCCGCCCTGTATTGTTGTGTAATCACTGCGGTACCGAGTCGACCAGTTGCAAAACTCATACAACACAATCGTTGCATCATAATTGTTGTCAGAACATGAATATTTTTAAAGTTGCCCATTTCCTATACTTGTAAGTTGTACATACATTACTATACTGCTTAAATTAGATTATTTATGAAAAACGTTTAGTTTATATATATATATATATATAATAAACCCTTGGGCCTAAACGGGTTCCTTATGCTCTATACTTATATTTTACAATTGTGAATATCAATTTTCCAAATGTATTTTAACAGTAAGGTTCTTTGAAATAAACTAACTTGACACTTTTAATAGACAAATGACTCTTTTTCATAAAATATAAACGTACCAAATCACAAACGGGATTGTTTGCAATAGATTGATGTAGACTAAAATTACTTAACCAATTATTATGACTTTTAAACAAATGTTTATAAACATTTTTAAATAATTAATAGGAACTTTTTTTGTAAACGTTCGAATCGCCTCAAACTATCATACTAATTTGACTCTTTTGAAAAGTAAACGATTTAGTTTATTTTTTCATTAATACAAATTTAAATGCTAATACTATTATAGCTTTTTCTTTTTTTTAAATAATATTTTTATAAACTTTAATACATAATATGAACAGTTTAATAAACAAAGCATGCAGAACGACTTCAGTACCTCCTAAATAATACAAACCAGTTTAATCCGTTTAGTATGCACTAAATACAATATTGGTTTAACCTTCCTGTAATAAGAGATACATTTTAAATAATTCTCTAAAAATATAAATATCGTTTTGTTTTTTAATTTTCATCATTATGTCCACCTTCTTTTGCGTATAAGGGATGAAGATAACAACTGTCTAAGTATGGAAACTTGTAGTAAACTATGTACTTACAACTATAGGGAAAAAATCAATTTCAAAATATTCATATTTTCCAACTAGTGTCTTAGATCAGATGAAGTCTCTGAATTGTTTAAGAAAGATGTGTTTTTTTTTTTATGTATCAAAACGGTTGTAATGTTTGCAAGTGGTCGACTTGTACGCAGTGCAAATAGATAATGTGTTCTGAAGTAGATTTATAGCTATTAATTATTATTTTTTTTTTGTAAGATACTAAACATGTTTTTTGTATAATACAACACAACGGTTTCCATACGTTTCTGTACCTACGTGTTATTATATTTTTATTGTCGTTATAGTTTTATGTATTTTTATATTATACAACTGTTGACTGTTAAACGCTGTTATAAAAGTTTATTAGCGTTTGTAAATAATAATATAATATTTTATTCGACCGGGCCGAATTCCACACATACAACTGCGCATTGCGTTTCGCTTTTTATTTTGGCTGCCACTCAACTCTATATTTGTAGAAGTGCGCACGGTCCGGCAATCTATATATAAAATGTTATACAAAATAGTGTACGATTACTCGAAACTTGGAAATAAATAACAAAACAACAACGGTTATTATCGCCGTTTCCTCAAGCCGACAATTGGTTTCTTACATTTTTGGCGCACATTTCGGAATTCTCATAATATGGTCGTGGCTGGTTACAATAATATTTTATGTACAATATCCGAGTCGAACAAACGCCTTTAAAGAAACGGTACCGATAGGGTGACTTTTAAAAGTCAAATAGCGACCTGTGTATTTGATTTGCCCGCGAAAAGCCAAACTATGCAATGGAAACGACGATGACTGGTCGATGGGGATTTCCAGAATTTTTTAATGGGTTTTTCACGTATTGTGGCTCGGCCGATCCTGCCAATCACCTTGCATTAGATTTACCTATGGACAGCACAATGATATAATACACACATAACGACTGGTGGATAATATTCATTGTACTTCTTGAGCTGTTGGCGTTTAAAGGTAGATATTATATAGACTGGGGGATGAGATTATCCACACGCACCAGTCACCTGGTACTTCTCTCCTGGCCAAAACTTTAAATGCTAATAATTTGAAAAATTATTTTCTAAAAACTGAACAATTACTTAGTCATTTTCACTGCAACATTCCGCCTGTATAGGCGTAATCAAAATACAAAATATGTATGTCGCTATTTGACCATCGTTAACGTTTATTCATTAAAACTACTCTTTAGGTAATAATATTTTTCTACTAATAATGAAACAATTAATTTTCCATCGTTTGTTGAAAGTAAATTGAGCATTTTTTTTTTTAGATTACATAATTTTTTTCGTTGAAAAATTCCCTTAAATTTGGACAACTGTGCTATTTTATATTATATGTTTATAGATATTTAATTGTTTGTGTGTATTTAATGTATACTATTCTGTTTAATTGTTACTGTATTGTATATTATATTATATGTACGTGGGGACAGGGGCTTTATGTTAACGGATCGGCTACGCCTATAATGGGTTTATAACTCGCCGAGCACGAGTTATGCCGACGACGACAATGCTGCAACACACACTGTATAAGGATGGTGGGGGTGGTTGGAGGTGGTCAGGGGTGGTTAGGGGATGGTCGGGGGTGGTTAGGGGATGGTTAGGGGCGGGGAGGGTGCACACGACCGCGTTTAAATTGTTTCGGCTTTGACCAAGTATAATGATCATGTTGTAATGGTGTGCATGTGTGTGTGTGTGTTGCAGCGGGAAGAGGACACACCGCAAGAAGGTGGGAGACCGTCGAGTGTGGACGTCAATGTGAGGAGGAATAAAGTGTACACGAGCCGAGTGCCGTGGCACAAGGTGCCGGACGTGGCCAGGCCCAGCCAGGTGCCGGAGCCGTATTTGGTGTACGGCCGGCAGGGCGGGCCGGCCCGCAAGACGGACGCGTGCCAGCCGGAGGAGGCCGACCAGCTGATCCGGTCGGCGCTGCTCAGGAGACACTTGCACGAGACCGAGACCATACCGTCCAAGAACCACGCGTCCAGATCGTCCCGGTACGGTCTGAGTCCGGGCACCGTGGACGGGCACGAGGGCAAGACCAGGAGACGCATCGCTTTCAGCTCCGTGCCGCCGCTGACGTACCGTTACTATCATTAAGCCGACGCCCGCCCACGTACAATAGATATAGATATACGTATACATCATAAACATATAATATAATACCTAAGTACACAAAACACATCACACTATTGTTATGTACGCTCGCACACACATATAAATATATATAATATATTATATCGTCGCTTAAAATGCAACACCGCCCATCTCGTTTCGCTGGACTTACAAGAGAACAATTATGTCCATAGACATATTAGAACGGCCGTTTGTAGAAGGGGGGGGGGCGCAACCGCGATTGGTTAGAGGTGCAGCGAGTTGCCCGACTTTGATTGGCCACTGCGACTTGTTGCCCTATTTTGATTGGCCACTGCCCTGTTTTGTCCGGTTGTCGATTCGCCGCGCAAATTACAAAAAAAAACCAATGCGGCCAACGAGACACGAGGTGGTTGCATCTCGAGCGACGATATATATCATATCAACCTATATTTTTAGCTTTTACTATTATTTTTTTTTTCATGTTATCGCCGCCGTTGTCGTTAAAAAGCAAAAAAAAAAATATTTAAAAAAAACATTATTATTATTATTATAAATTACCTCTAGTTTCGAAAGAAAAAAAAAAATGGTTGTATATTTTTTTTCCTGTCCATCCGCTAAAAAAAAAAAACGGAAGATAAAATTTTTTTTTTGATGTTGGCGGAAATTAATATATACATATATACGTATGTATATTTAATAATATTAATATTTAGACGCCGAGATACACGACCAGCAGCTATCCGGTGACGTCGTCCGTACCGGAAGTGCACAGGCAACAGTACGAATACGTGGTGGAACAGCGGACCACCAGCGGCGGACCCGCCGGCCGGTCGTACACGACCACCGAACGCGTGGAGAAGAACAACGGACCGGGAGGCTTGACCATCGAGCGCAGCACACGGTCCAACGACGGCAGGCCGGGCGGCTATCACTCTTCGTACTCGAGCACCAGGTCCGGAGGAAGGCCCGGCACGTACAGACATTTCTCGTACAACGTTTGAATACAAAAAAAAAAAATATATAATCTAAAAAAAAAAAAAAACGATGAAAAAAATACCTAATTTATCGTCGTCGCTGTTGTTGTTGTTGTTGTTTTCGGATTATAATCGTTATAAAATATATTATTTCATGTATATTATTATAATATTATTATTATCATTACCTACCTATATTGTTGTTGTTACCAGCTACACTTACTAATCACAGTGTTTAGTGCTCGCTTAAAATTAAATATATATATATATATATTAAATCGCCGTCGTTGACTAAAAAAAAAAAAAAAATGAAAAAATAGTATTGCAATATTATCATCCCTTGTAATTTATTTACACGATTGTGAAAAAAAATATATACGTGTGACATATTAAATATTTATTTATTCGTTTTTGAAAAACAGTATTTTTTTTGTTTTTTTGTTCTTTGCACAGCCCATTTACTCATCCGACGGATATGACATACCGCCTTCGTACTATAAGGTAACACACAGCTTAATATATAATTACAAAAACATGGTGAAATTTAATAATATACTATTATGTGCCAAAAAAAATTTGTAGTGACTCGGATGTGTACAATAATAGTTATTATACCGACAAGGTCTATGTATGAGTACACGAATCTGTAATGGTATTACTATAAAAGCGTTGTACTTACATTACTTGAAAATGTTTAAAAAATGTATTTTTGTTATTAGGGTGGACACGCAAATAGGGTTGATGGCTTAATCAACAGTATAAAACTTGGCAACCTAGAAATTGACTACGGTTAAAGTGTAACTTTCCTTTTTTTGGGGGGTTTTTAATATAAAAAAAAAATCTAAATGTTAATGGTCCATCCTAGACCTTAGGCTCATCACCTAAACAAATAAAAAAGTTTCCACCCGTTTTTTGGGGAAAGGGGTTATGATATTTGTTTGGTTTATCTAGGTAGTACTATGTCTAATGACTATTCCATACAAATTTGGAACTAATTCAACTACTTAAAAAAAATAGAGCTCGTTTTACTCGATTCGAAGGGAAAATGGTGAACTTTTGAAATTTTTGGGTCCAATAAAGCACCTTACAGGTAAGATTTCTGTACTACAGAGTTGCTACGCGAAGAAATCGGTTCAGCTGTTTAGAACACAAAAATTAAAATACATCATTGTAAAAACAATACCTTTTCAGCTCCGAATCGAAGCTAAAATATACTAAACGACAATTAATATTAATATAAATACAATTTAGATGTTAATGTTTTTGTTTAAATTTACAGTGTAAATAAGTGCGTTTTTTAAATGAATGAATTTATTATAATTACAAGTGCATACCTAACAATGCGTTTAAACTTTAAAAAAAAACATCTTAATTCGAGATAAATAAACTTTTTGGCAGTACGTACATGTATACTATTTTTACTTAAGAGATGATTATTTACAGCTATATATTGACCTATCACATATTATATTTTATTGTTATTTTAAAATGTTTTATTAACACTTTTATAACAACAAATAAATGAGTAAAACTAGACCAATTGTATAGCTATTTAGGAAAGTAGAAGTTTAGACACATACCTATCTTGTTAATAATAAGATCTACTGAGGTTGTCCAAGATGAGTATTTAGTTAAACATCATGGAATTATTGAATGACGAGAGAGTCAAGTCTCCTCAATATATCCTTATAGTTAAACCGATAGGACATTGAATTGAAAAAACCCGTCAATAACAATTACAGGACTCTTAACCACTATACAATATATCATCTCTGTCCAAACTTCAAATATGTGGCCGCAAGCCAGTCTACTAATATTTTAATTAAACAATTCTAAATGATTGGCCGTTTTTTTTATGATTACTTTATGGGCTATACGCCAAAAAAGTCCCTCTGGACAAATACGACATGCAATAATTTAACTTGTGTAGTATTTATACACTGCAGCTGTAGGTAATACGATGAATGAATAAAGATAATTATTTTAGTTCAGCATGCCATGACGATTGAATGACAACAGAATTAGCGGAAACAGATAATAATACAAATATTATGCAAAATTCCTGTTTGTATACCTTTTGTGACAAGGATGTATTACAAACAAAACGATATTTTATTTCATTTTTGTTTTTCTCGAGCAGTTCTACCACCAATAATATTATACCTATTTATAGTGTAAAATTAATTTTTAAAAACAAATAGCAATTATGTTCAGCCAAAGTGTCCCAAGTAAATTCACTCGTTTAATTATTGTCACTATCAATAAAACCGTAACTACGAAATTGCCTAATTTTAGACAACCGTATTTTATAGTTTACCATAATAAATTATACAATTTATGCGTTTGTGCCAAATCAAAATATAAGCCAACTTTAATAATAAAATAACCTTCGCCAAAAGTCAGAACATACGCACGAAATCTGCAAATAGAACACATAATATTTAATTGTAAATATCAGTTTTTAAACACTCAAACGTTAGCGTGCGTAATGGATATAAATAAAAATTGTTCGACCAAAAATAAATATGGGTAATAAATAAACGGCAACGCCATTTTCTAGTTAGTTTCATTTATTTTCAGATACACCTCACACGTACAGAAAATCACTCTGAAGCCAAGCATTTACACATGCATAAGCATATTATGAGGCCTGCTCGTTATAAATTTACTGTTTGAAATAATTATTTGCAGATTTTCTTTTTTACCAATAACATCTTTTCAGTAATAACCGGCGATTTGCAGATTTAGGGTGATTCATTAAGGATAAGACACTAATTTTCTCGGAGTATATTAATATTTTGAAAAATATTTTTTTCCAAGATTTTTTGGTACACAACGTAGTATATTTTTCAATATTTTGAAAATTTATATCACCAATCCTCGAAGGCCAAAAAGGGGGATTTTAGTTTTTTTTTTAAATGGCAACATATGTTTTTAATTACATACATTTGTAGACAAAAAATAAAATACATTTTTAGCGTTTGAATTTTGAATTTCCATTTATTTCAAAATATTGGAAAATATAGTACATTGTGTACCAAAAAATCTTGTAAAAAAAATATTTTTAAAAATATCAATATATTCCGAGAAGATTAGTGTCTTATCCTTAATGAATCACCCTGTACCATCCCCTCCTCTCTGGCTTTGAAAAAGTCTTTTTAGATGTCTCATTGGGGCGTTGCTTTCTTTATTTTAGGCGCACCAAGTATACCAAACGAGTCCTTTCATACTGACACCCATCACCACAACAGCGAGGCCGTCGGCAAAGGTTTTGCCTTACAACTATAGGTACATACCTGCGCCCACCTATCATCATAGAACCGGTGCGGCATTACACGGGGTGTTAGACAGGATCGAGCACAGGCATCGTTCTCATCCCGGCCACGATGCTACCGACGAGTACTTGAACACCAGGAGTTCCACGGTAATACATACAACATACCTACTGTCTACTCGGATCGGCTTATAGGTTTAAGAATTTGAACCGAGCAAAGGTTAACCTGGAGGCCCAGGCACACCCCAATATCACAGATTAGACAAAAACCAGATGGTTTTATCTCCCTATTGAAGCAATGTAATTGCTGAAATTCTAAACAAACCAAAACCCGCCTCAACTCAGAGTGACCACTGGTAGAAAACAAAAATCCTTAAGTTTTTTTAGTTTCTTGAAGTAAACAGTACAATAAACTCAAATGATGGATTGGATGGAAGGGAAACACAGAAGCAACTTGATAGTTATTTTTAGAATCCAAGAAAACTCATGTTAAGACAATTCTAATGTTACAGTAGGGAGTAGTAAAATTATCATATATACAATCTTGATAATGTATTTTCAATTCCCAACGAAGGTAGGCGAAAATCATGTTTTTCACATTAACAATGCAGAGGGCGAGGGAAACGTGGCCCGCCTCGGATGGATAATATTAAATATAATAATATGATCTCTGATTATTGAGATTTAACACGAGGTTTCACGATAGAAACTCTGAACGTTTACGGACCAAATGATACTGACTAATTTCTTTTATTGTGCAGAATTTCGATGACGTGACAAGATCAATACGAGCGCAAACGGCCGGTTTACTTAAACAAGTATACGCGCCTACCATAAGGCCTAAACCGACACATTCTCATTACAAGTAAGAACTAAATGAATATAACATTAAGAGAACGACAAAGCACGTTACCTATTAAGAATGTAGCGCAGTATAGGCTATTTTTTTTTTGCAAATCTTAAGAGTTAAAGCTACGGTTTTAGAGTATTAGTGATTTGGCTCTGAATCCATTAAAGAGACGAGCTATACTCATTTAGTCGAGTCATAACGTTAATAAATGAACAAAACGTTCAGCTAACATGTCAGATTGGACAAATGTATTGTACTGATATTGTATGTTTAATTCGTGCCTAGTACTCATACCGGATACATGGAGTTACCCATAGCGCAGCGGATAGAATCCGACGCTTACATTGAAGCCATTCTGAGAGACTCCCAAACCCATCACTACGACACAATAGGTATGTATTGCACTTGTAATAAAATGCAATGTTTTCCTTAAACGAAATGCCTTGGACCATGTCTTATGATCAGCTGACTATAGCTGTCTCCGTTCGGTTATTTAGGAACCATCGATTTCCCCTTGGATCACATACAATGCATAGAACCAATCGGTATAATGCCCTTTTGTGTGACGAAGGGGTCACGTAGAATTTCCCACAAATCCCCAGACATAAGACATAGTTTATAAGTCGATCAACACATCCCCACACTAATGGATTCAAATTTTTCTCGATCAAACAGGTAAAGGCCATCTGGCGTGTGTGACTTATGCCGGCGGCAAGGCTTTTGCGCGCAGAAGACCACGGTTATCAGGTGATGCAGAAGTAGACACAAACGTGACAATGCTGTCGTACTACAACAAAACAAGAGAAGCGGCTGCGGCTTCTTCGGGTCGTCCCAGGGTAAAAGTGGATACTTCAGCCAACACTTCCAGCCGAGGTGCCTACGAACTAGGTACGGGTAATAATCATATAATTACATACAGGGTGTAATGTAAAGTTCTACCGAGCTTCAAATGAGACATTCAGGATGCTTTATGGGTACAAAAAATGGTATTCATTTTTTTTTTAATTTTAAAATTATTTAAAACAGAACTCGTATCTCGTTAAAAAATTGTCTAACGAAAAAAATAATATCACATCTGAAATCAGGAGAAATAATCTTGTTGAATTGATATGTAACATGTTTTTTGGTATCTGGCAACACTTGCGTCCACCGAGTGGCCGGCATGTGACCAAAACCAACATATGGCATGTGACTCATCATTTTGGATTAGGATTTTATTCTCAATCCAGTGGTGTCCTTAGAATTATTTTATATTAAATGATATAATAACATATGTTATATATAACCATGTTGTTGATTTTAGCCACATGCCGGCCACCCTGTGGAAGTATATGTGACCATATATTCATAATTATTAAGTACCTTTAATAGGGCTAAAGGGTAAAAATAAAGTAAATAAATAAAAAAAATGTTTTAAAAATATGGTTTTCTAAAAAATACTAAAAAAGTTAACTAAAAAGTAAATAATAATTTTACTATGAGGAAATTTATTTACCAATCAATTGTAGCAAATGTTTTTAAAAATGTCATTTACTTAGAAAACAACCGAAAATAACTACAATTTTAAATAATGTTAAACATTTTAAATCTTTTACTAAAAAGAAAAGCGTGGGCCCAATTCAACAAAGTCTATAATAAATTTAACAGGTAATGTTTTATATTATAAGTTTTTTTGAAATTAAAATTTGGTTCAATTTTAGTGTGTGACACATACATTTTATAATACTTAACTCAATGAATTTGGATTAAATTATTATCATTATAATTATTATTTTATTAATATTTATTAGATACTTTGTTGAATAGGGTCCATGCTTTTCTTTTTAGTAAAACATTTAAGATGTTTAACATTATTAAAAATTGTAGTTAATTTTCGGTTGTTTTCAAAGTAATTGACATTTTTAAAAAATGTGCTACAATTGATTGGTACTTATTGTTCTTGTAGTAAAATTATTTTTTTTACTATTTAAGCATGTTTTTTAAAATAAAAACAATGTACTAACAATTTCGACTGGTCGATAACCAGTTTTGGAAAACTATTTTTAAAATTATTGAAGTTTCAAGTTTTATGAATGGTTTTTAGTAATTTTTTGTTAAAAGATAATAATTATTGGTATTGCACATTGGATAAGTCGTTTAACTACATTCCGACACTCTAGTGCAAATGTTTGCTTGTATAAAAAGTCGAAGCAATAGAAATTAGAATTTAATAAAACAGTTTTTTCGATATTACTGCTTAAAGAAATTCACGGTTTTCCAATGTTAGACGTCTAAGAGCCAGCACTTCAGTGGCGTAGACACGGAGGAGGGGGGGGGGGGTAAAAAGAGCCTCCTTACCCCCCAACCTCTTTAAAGAAATTAATTTTTTTTTTTATAATATAACAACAAAAAATAAAATTTTAAACTGGTAATATGATATTTATTATGAAATTTTTAGTTCATATTTTCATAAACGACCACACTGTAATACTTTTATCATTTATCAATTATCATTATCAAATTAATATTGCGAAAACGCTTATCATTTTATCTAAATAAAATTCTAAAGCTGAAAAATTGTTGATGTTTAACTTTATGTGTCACAAAAATTCTAGTAAATAGTACCTAGTATATGTGGAAAGATTAAAATGAGCAAAAATATGTTAGACGTTGAAGAACATATTTTTAATTTATCTAAACGATATAAAAATTTAATGATTGACTCTGATCGAATTTTAGCACAGTACAAAATAACAAAAAAATTGCGTACAAAATGCACAAACGATTATTGAATTATTGTCTAATATAAATGAAGTTTACAAAGATTTAATTCAAATATATAAAATTTGTTTATGCTTGCCAGTAACTACAACTTCTGTGGAAAGAACTTTTTCTAAACTAACTCTGGCAAAATAAAAAATGCACTACTAATTTTGTTCATTTCAGCTTTTAATATTGTTTGTACATTTTAAGGTCAAGAGTAAATTAATAACCACTATGACGCACTAGTCTTTGATTTTAATGTAAATTAAAAAAGAAATTCTTGAATAAATCAGTATTCAAGATTATGTTGACAAGTTTTCAGAAAAAAATAGACGAATGAATTTGTAAATAAAAAAATAAAAAACTAAAACTGAAATAAAAAAAAGATTGTTTTATGAAGGTTACTAAAACATATTTTTGTTTAAGTTGTTAATTTCTCTCAGTTTAATGAATATAAAATAAAAATGTGTGTGCGCCTATTTAATATTAATATATATATAATTATAGATCTTTTGTATGGACAATTATATCATATTGCCCCTACCCCCCCCCGACCAAAATAGGGTTAGAAGAATATTTGTAAAAATGTTTGAAAATATGAATCGATAATTACAGAGAGAACAGCACGTGATTCAGAATCCGGTGCCGATAGAGTGTCCAACGGAAACCAACATTCTTCTGATGCAGCCGAAGAAGCCTCTAAGAAAGCGGAAGAAGAACGATTGGCTGCAGAAGCGGCGCGCAAGGAAGATGAGGACAGATTGGCGGCAGAAGAAGAGGCGCGGCGCAAGGAAGAAGAGGACCGATTGGCGGCAGAAGAAGAGGCGCGGCGCAAGGAAGAGGAGGAACGGTTGGCCGCAGAGGAAGCGGCGCGCAAAGAGGAAGAAGAACGATTGGCCGCGCTCAGGGAAGAACAAGAACGGTTGGCGGCCGAAGAAGCCGCGCTCAGGGCGGAGGAAGAACGATTGGCCGCCGAAGAGGCCGCGCTCAGGGCGGAGGAAGAACGATTGGCCGCAAAAGCGGAAGAGGATAGATTGGCCGCAGAAGAAGCGGCGCTCAAGGAGGAAGAGGATAGATTGGCCGCAGAAGAAGCGGCGCTCAAGGAGGAAGAGGATAGATTGGCCGCCGCAGAAGCAGAGGCCGCCAGAAAGGCGGAAGAAAACGTTTCCGAGTCGGAAGAAACGGACGCGGAAGAGATAGAGGACGAACCGAATAGCAAACTAGTGACCACCGAAGTCGGATTTGGCATAGGCGGAACAGCTCTGGCAGCTTCTGAACACCACGAAGTAGCGTACACGACGTTGGAAGAAGAAGACGGTGGTACCGTCAGGACGGCCGTGTTCAGACGCTCCACAAGGACTACGTCGACCATAATCCAGTCCGGCAGCGAAGAGCACAACGGCGTGGAAATCGAAGAAGTCGTGGAAAACGAAGAAGTTTCGGGGGACGAAAACGCCGTGGCCGACGGGCAGCGGTCCGAGCAAGAGGAATCGTCGGACGAAGGAGAAGAAATCAAAACGGAAGGGGCAGATACAAAACCGGAAGAAGGGTCATCCGAAGAGGAGGAGGAGGAGGAGGAAAGAAGAAGAGTAGAAAATGTTTCGCGTCGCGCGATCGAGTTTTCCTAACGACTTGAAGGGATCGGCGAAATAGCGTTTATTTATTTTACCGTTGTTGTTAATATGCATTTAATTTATTTATTTATCTAATTTATTAAAAAAAAAAAAAATAATAATAATAATTAATACAAGATATTTAATTATTATTAGTTAATACAAAATACATTACAGACACACTACACCAAAGCCATCGACAAAAATAAGTACTAGGTAACAAAATATCAATAAAACGGATTTAACTCGAGTATTTTACAACGTGTATATTATTAATAATCTACACGTCATTGTCTAAGTTATAATTTACTTGAAATAAACGAAATGGGACGTTTAAAATAAAGAAATTAGGTTGACAACACTCGTGTGCTGATAGATTTACTACTAACCCTTAATAACTTGAAATCTTACATGTTTTTCATCAAAGCTACGCAAAATATTACACACGGAATAAACAGAAGAAACAATCAGACATATTAAGAAAAATGCAGTGATGCCAGAACGTAAACATTTCCTTTTAATTATTTTTCTGTGATGCATGGCTACACTGTTCGTTCGTTAAATGTCCTAATTTATAAAGTCATTCAAATGATTTTCGTACAATTCTATTAGCATAGCTTAAACGAAGTCATGCCCGATTTTAAAATTAAAAATTGTGATATTCAAAATATATTAGTTGGAGAGAGAATAGTGTTATTTTAATCTATACACATTACTCAGAGGCATTTCATCTACTACTCGCCAATTCAATACCTAACTTAATAAAGTAATCATCCAAAACTGGTAATCGACCAGTCACCATTTTTAGGAAATTATTCTTAAAATAAAAAGTCAATTAACAAGTTGACTGACAGAACATTTAATTTTTTAGTCTCTCTAGTTTTGAGTACCACATTTTGTGCTCAAATCAGTCAACTCGTTGAATAAATGGGTTACCAATTAAGTTTTAAAATACTAAAAATTGTCAACATTTTATGTTGTAAGACAAAATAATCCAAAATGTTTCATAATAATTACTTTAAAAGAAAAAGAGTGTCTTACATTAAACAGACCACACCGTTTATGCGATAATACAAATCACCGAAACAAAAAAAAAATGTAATCCATACACCTAATCCTTCATTTGTCTTTTACTCAAAAGTCAAGACGTATTAGTTATTTAAGTAAGTACTTAGTTATTTTTGTTCAAAAATGGAATTTGAAGTGATAGAAGGGTTTCAAAAAAATAGTAAATGTTCTACCATATAAACGATGGGTTATTTATTAAATACTGTTAATCTGTTATAAAGAAATAATAACTCAATTTTTGTTTTTTAAAAAACAAAACAAATACAAGATTGATACAAGGGAAGTCTATGGTTTATGGTTTGGTTCGCGTTAAACAGCTTCACACTTCTTGTTAGACTTTTTTTAGATATCAAGGTTTCCCAAACAGAATGTAATTAAAATTTGTCTTTCGGGCAATGAAAGATACTTTGGGTATCATCGTTTACCGTTTATATTCCTAACATTTTCATTGTTTTTATTTTTTATAATTTTATTATCATTGTTAATGAACTAATTCAATTTTGTTTAAGAATTATTACTTTTTTTATATGTTGACACACTAAACAGTATGTTGTGTCGGTAACCCGAGCAACTCACCGGATTTTCCTGTATTTATTTTTAAAAAACTGTTGTTTCTTTTTCATAATTTTTTTCCAATAAGTACTTTATTGTTAACACAAATGTCGTTTGAACTACAATATCAACATTGTAATAATCATTTTTCTGTAAAAAGTCAAAAAATAATAATTAAAACAGTAGGTAAAGGTTACAATGTAAACCATAATTTAAACATTTAAAATCTCTAGCCGTTCATAAAAAAAAGATGTTTATTATTCTATTCTTACTATCTATTATACATACATATATGTTTACTCCAAAAAATCAAAATAATTTGTCAAAAAAAAAAAACCCCCCACGCGCAATGATCAAATTTTTTCTGACAAGAACGGATGTACCAAAGCCTGAGATATGCCAATGCGTTTTGAAGAGTCCAACATCAACATTTTGTCAAAGAGGTCTTTCAGCTGGGCCACCTTACGAATTTGGTCTTCTGGTAATTTCTGATTTCCCAACATTTCAACGTGTAAGTCGCGACTAGGGTTTATCGCCGACATGGTTACCACTTTTTCCTAAACACATACATTAGAGTTAACAAACACATTATAATATTGTATATTGTTATTATACTGTTGACTTTATAATCGAGTAAAGCGCCACCATTTTGTATAGCCATCACTTGTCATTACTATAACTGTAATTAATTTCACTTAATAATAACAAGTCAAAATTCCTATACATACACACACATATGAATTAATTTAATCTTATTGCAATCCAAGTTTATATAAGAAAAAATATGTATACACTAATAGAGTAACATAAACAAATTGAAGAAAAAACTAACGCTATATTATAAATAAATTTCTATTATTTTTAAGTGTTATCATCGGATTGTAAAATATTTATACGGATTAGATTATTGAGGAATTAAAAAAATAAAGTGTAGTGTTGTGAAAGAAATCGGACCAAGAAAACAGAAATTATCATCAGTTTATTAAATCAATAGTAATTTATTTAAAAAAAAATGACATAACAACGTTGTCTCCGGTCTTTAAATTTAACAACTGCAAAATATATTCAAAACCAGAGAGGAGTATTTAAATTGATATGCTCGATTTAATTAAAAAATGTTTGAATCATTTACAAAGAACAACATTAGATTCATTTATACAGTTAAAATTTTAATTAAATATTTAAAAGAAGATTTTATGAAGGGTAGACAATGGAGTTATAGGACGGTGGTAACATTAGATTCATCGCTCTTCTTATACTAATAAACATACACTTCTACAATTTCTTTTACATACATTTCCCCAAAGAAGTAAAAAAACTCTTATTTAAGAAGTTTAAAAATATAGGTTATAGGGGGAGAGAAGACAAATCTTCAGGTTTTATCATTTATATATTATAAAGTCCATGAAAGACATTATCTAAGTGATTTATGACACAATAATTATTTATATATTTAAAAAACTCAACAACTGAACTGACAGAATAATCATTGGCTTGTAAGTAGAATGGCAAAATAGTGATTTAATAAATTTCCTATACTTAGTCACCGTAGAAGTCTTAGTTAAGTATAATGAATTTGGGAGACCTGCAGAACATTTTAGATCACCGTTGAGGATTAATATTTATGTTCAATTGAACATTACATAAAGAGCGGTAAATAGGGATATGTAAAAAATACCAGTAACAGTAGCAACAAGATGGCAATAAGAAAATATAAATATTAAAAAAAAAAAGTTCTTTATCTAACTTAAAAGCCTTTCAAGTAATTGTTATAACAAAATTTTAATATACTTTCACGTTTATTGGATATACCGTATTAAGAGGGCAACGGTTCTACTTTGTTTTTTTTTAAATTAAATGTAACGCAGTCGAGTTTAATTTAGCAAAGCAATAAAGTTACACTAAATCAAAAGTAATAACAACGGTACGAGTATACTTTAGCAAAAATATTGGCCAGTATTCAACAGCTGAATTCTGGAATTCCATTTTGCTTACTTTTTCAAAAACCTCTGACCGAATAATGATTTTAGGTAAAAAAAATACTTTTTCTTGTTTTTAAGAGCAGATTTTTTACCTATGACTGTTTCCGATACACATCATGCTCCAAATCTAGCTTGAAGTGATGCCTACGAGTTCAATTGTAAATTAAGTAGAAAATTAATACTATCAGATATATATATATATACATATATATATTTGTTCTTTCTACGGCTAACCTTAAGGAATGGAAATATAGGTTATAGAGGGAGAGAAGACAAATCTTCAGTTTTTTTAATTTATATATTATCAAGTCCATGGAAGACTTTCTCTAAGTGATTTATGACACAATAATTATTTATATATTTAAAAGACTCAGCAACTGAACTGACAGAATAATCATTGGCTTGTAAGTAGAGCGGCAAAACAGTGTCTTAATTACATTTACTATACTTAGTCACCGGAGAAGTCTTGGTTAAGTATGAGGAATTTGGAAGACCTGCAGAACATTTTAGATAACCGTTTAGGATTATATTTATGTTCAATTGAACATTACGTAAAGAGCGAAAGAAGGGTTCTGTAAAAAAAAACCAGTAACAGTAGCAATAAGAAAATATAAATATTTAAAAAAAAAGTTCTTTAATTAACTTAAAAGCCTTTCAAATAATTTTTATAACAAAATTGTAATATACTTTCATGTATATTGGATATACCGTATTAAGAGGGCAACGGTTCTACTCGGTTTTTTTTTTAAATTAAATGTATCGCAGTCGAGTTTAATTTAGCAAAGCAATAAAGCTACACTAAATCAAAATTAATATCAACGGTACGAGTATACTTTAGCAAAAATATTGGCCAGCATTCAACAGCTGAATTCTGGAATTCCATTTTGCTTACTTTTTCAAAAACCTGTGACCGAATAATGTTTTTAACGTAAAACAAATACTTACACGCTCAGTCACTTTATCGACTTCGTGATATAAAAAGTTGCAATTACTATCGAAATGTTGTTCCTTCAATACACCTTTGCGAATGGTTTTATTGAGCATTTTCCCTTTGAGGTCCATAAACAATTTTAACATCTAACGGTTAAAAAACGAAAACAATTATTTTTTCAAAACTATTATTATCTATGAAAATAATTTCAGTCGATTAATTATTACTTGATTATTGGTTTTGCCTGGAAATAATATTTTGCCCGTGTAAAGTTCATAAATCGTGCAGCCGGCAGACCACATGTCGAGTCCAAAATCGTAGGGGATACCTAAAACTGTGGTCGAGGAGAAACATTAGATATTAGAGCAATCACACGTAAGAGACAAAAAAAAATACAACGTTCACTTACTGACTTCGGGCGGACGGTAAAATCGACTGACTAAATACGGCGTGACTTCATTGTCGGAAATGTGCGACGCAGAACCAAAATCGCATAGCTTCAATACCAGCTTACTTTCGTTCACCTACATTTCACAGATAAAAAAAAAAAATAATAAAATCAATAATCGTTATTTTACAAAAAAAAAAAATATGCTTTCTGTTATAACCAGAAGAAGTACGAGATTCACAGGAACTGCAGACCACACATTTTAAAAAATTTCCCAAGTTGTATCAAAGCTGAACTGGACGATTTAGTAGTATTTATACCTAATTACCAAAAGGGCAAATAATACGTCAATAACATGATCATGATTTTTGCTGCAATGATGTTGACCAAAATAAACCTTAATATGCTGGACATCCGTTGCATCAGTGGTCTTAGAACTAAAATCGATTTCAATCGCGTCTTACCAAAATATTGTCGGGTTTGATGTCGGCGTGCAAAATATTGGATTTTTTCATTAGTTTTAACGCCAGCATCAGTTGTTGACAATACGAACGAACGGCTTTGACGTGCAGTCCTACATCCTTACCGTATTTTTTCAACACCTAAAATATAAAGCCGATTGAAATTAACGCAAAATCGCATTCAAGACCATATATTCTAAAATTTACACTACTGTTTGTTACCTCTCTGAGATTCATGCTGAGCGGCTCGAAAACCATGCACAAATGTTGCTTGTGGAAAAAATGACAATACAAACGAACACAATGATACCGGTCGTCAGGATCCGAGTCGTTAAGTCTTTTCAGTATTTCCAATTCTTTCAGGCCGCTTTTGTGCCTAATTAAAAAACAAAATCATTGTCAATAGGTATTTTTTTAATAATACGTTATTTGCTTTCGCAACTAACTGCCTCGGTAGACGACGTTAGTGTGCATCATTATTATTAAGTGCTCTTACATGATTTCGTTGTTGCGTATTATCTTAACGGCCACATCTTGGTTATTCTTGGTCGTGTCTCTGGCACGGACAACATTGGAAAACACTCCTTGACCCGTGTAACCATACACTGTGTACCTGGAATTCATCGTTTCGCCGATTCTCACCCTATAATAGCCTTCTGCGTCATCCCAGTTGTCTGTTAAAGAAGGATTTTCCGGAACGCTTTTATTTCCATTAGCTAAACCGTTCAGTTGCGGTGTCTAAAAATGTATAAACATCGTTTACAATGGCCGATAATGTTAAAATTATCAAAAGCTAAAAAAAAAAAAATATTACAAGTTGTGTAGCATGATACGAATCTGCTTCTGCAAACATGTCCCATTTGCCTTTGATCAGTTCCGTATTTGATACGTTACCAGCCTTAACCGGGTCTTTTTCAAACATTGAATCGTTAGTATTTTTAATGGGAGACTGCCTAGGTTCAGGAGAAAGCTGAGCAGAAGTTTCTGTCGCATCGCTTTCACGAGGAGAAGGATTTGCCGAGTCTTCACCGTTTACATTACTATTGTTGGCTTCCAATCGCTAAATCATTATATTTATAACATTATAATAGATAAAGTAATAATTTTCTTTATTGGGGGGAAAAAATCACTTTGAAAATGCTTTAGTTTTAGCCAGATTTTATTTAATAGAAATAATTTTCTTTTAAAAAATTAAATCTCACACGTGTTAACTAAATAAACTCAATAATATTACTTTTAATAATTCTTCCCTTTGTTTCCTTCTTTTTTCTATTATTTCTTCTACGTTTTCGTCTTCGGCAATGTTTATATTTACTTCGATCCTACAACATAAAAAATATACAAATGAATTAATTTAATTTTTTTCGTCGACTAAATATTACGTACTCGGAATCGGAAGATTTATTTTCACGCTTGAGACCTTCTGAAAAACTGTCTTTATACTTATCTCCTCTGTCTTTTCTTCTATGAGATCTAGATCGATAGAAATTTCAAACGGTGTTTGTTATTAACTACAAAATCATTAAGCGTAAGTAAATTGTAATTGAATTCATGCCAACCTGGAATGTCGGTCGTGGCTATGTGATCTCCTTGCATAGTTTCTATTGTATCTCCTATTCGTAGCATCTCTATAACGGTCACGGTCACGGTCACGTTCACGATCTCTGTCTCTGTCTCTATGTCTAGTAGAAGCTATAGGAATATAAAAAACGTGATCACAAAAGGTCTGAATACAGATTTGCCAGCTTTAGAGAAATACAATGTCATACATACAAGGTGGGCTTCTAGCACGATCTCTGTTGGCTACAAAAAAAAAAAATATACACGATACTCGATTAAAATTACTTTATAAGACAGATTAAATCAGTTTAACAAAACTTACAATTGGAACTTCTTATACAATCTCTCCTATGTCTTATTTGTTCTTCCCTTCTTTTGTCTTCTTCACTTCGCCTCTTGCTATCTTCTTCTGTGTCCTTTAGTTCATCATCTCGACGTTTTTGTTCCCGTTTTCTTGAATCATCTTCTTTTCTTTTAGTCTCATCGACATTCCGTCGTATTTCTCGACGTTTATAATCTTCCGTTAGGTTTCCTTTTCTTTGTCTTTCTTTTTCTCGGGTTCTTTCCCGTTCTGTATCTTTTTCTCTTTCTTTTTTTGATTTTTCTAATTTTCTGCGCGTTTGGTCTCTACTTGTACTCCTCTTTCTGGTAGGTTTTTCAGTATTTCTGTAAGAAAATTTTTTTTTTTTTAAATGTATAAATACTATCATTACTACTACAATGTTAGTAACAGCTTTTAAGAAACATGTACATAAAAAAACTAGATCAATCTACATATATACCCAATCTCTCTTAGAACCATAACACTTGTACGATTTTAATATGCTCTAATCACTAAATTATATTTCAGCACATTAAATAATATTTTTGTTTTTTTTTTTCATACTAGAATTATTATTTTGGTAATTTTTTATTTTTAAAATTCAAAGTCTAAGTGGACAATGTCACTAAAAGACTTCCTTCCACTTTTTTTACAATAATTCTCTCAAGAGACAACTATTATTTAAACATTGATAAAAACTTACTTAACTGAATTCCTTACGTTGTGCTCTTCATCTGTATCATCATCATCGATCAAATCAATAGTTTCAATGCACATTTTTAGATTGTTCTTGTTTTTAAGAGCAGATTTTTCTCCAATGTCTGCTTCCGATACACATGCTCCCAATCTAGCTTGAAGTAATGCCTACGAGTTAAATTGTAATTTAAGTAGAAAATTAATATCATCAAATATATATATTTGTTCATCCTAAGGCTAATCTTAACGAATAGAATTCTATTCAAATGAAAAATCCTTATTTAAGATCCTGAGCTAACCCATTTTTTTTTTGCATTTCATTAAAATGGAATAATTCATCTACAATCAACTTGAAACCTAACTAAAACTATTCCAATTTGAAAAAAAGATTCTTTAAACTAACATACAATATATAATATTATAAATAAATTTCTATTATATTAAGTGTTATCATCCGATTGTAAATAAAAAAAATTGACATAAGAATATTGTCTCCGGTCTTTAAATTTAACAATTGCAGAATATATCCAAAACCAGAGAGGAATATTCTAAAAGTATTTAAATTGAAATGCTCGATTTAATTTAAAAAAGTTTGCATCATTTACAAAGAACAACATTAGATTCATTATTACACTTAAAATTTTAATTAAATATTTTAAAGAAGATATTATGAAGGGTAGACAATTAAGTTATAGGACGGTGGTGACTTTAGATTCATCGCTCTTCTTATACTAATAAACATACACTTCTACACTTTCTTTTACATACATTTCCCCAAAGAAGTAAAACAACTCTTGTTTAAGAAGTATTAAAAATATAGGTTATAGAGGGAGAGAAGACAAATCTTCAGTTTTTATCATTTATACATTAACAAGTCCATGAAAGACTTTATCTAAGTGATTTATGACACAATAATTATTTATATATTTAAAAGACTCAACAACTGAACTGACAGAATAATCATTGGCTTGTAAGTAGAGCGGCAAAACAGTGTCTTAATTACATTTACTATACTTAGTCACCGGAGAAGTCTTGGTTAAGTATGAGGAATTTGGAAGACCTGCAGAACATTTTAGATAACCGTTTAGGATTATATTTATGTTCAATTGAACATTACGTAAAGAGCGGTAAATAGGGATATGTAAAAAATACCAGTAACAGTAGCAACAAGATGGCAATAAGAAAATATAAATATTTAAAAAAAAAGTTCTTTATCTAACTTAAAAGCCTTTCAAGTAATTGTTATAACAAAATGTTAATATACTTTCACGTTTATTGTATATACCGTATTAAGAGGGCAACGGTTCTACTCGGTTTTTTTTTTAAATTAAATGTATCGCAGTCGAGTTTAATTTAGCAAAGCAATAAAGTTACACTAAATCAAAAGTAATAACAACGGTACGAGTATACTTTAGCAAAAATATTGGCCAGCATTCAACAGCTGAATTCTGGAATTCCATTTTGCTTACTATTTCAAAAACCTGTGACCGAATAATGTTTTTAACGTAAAAAAAATACTTTTTCTTGTTTTTAAGAGCAGATTTTTTACCTATGACTGTTTCCGATACACATCATGCTCCAAATCTAGCTTGAAGTGATGCCTACGAGTTAAATTGTAAATTAAGTAGAAAATTAATACTATCGAATACATATATTTGTTCTTTCTACGGCTAACCTTAAGGAATGGAATCCTATTCAAATGAAAAATTCTTTATTTTATTTTAATTTAAAAATACTTTAAAGGCTTTTTCCCAAAACTATGTATTCAATGCATTGAAATTTATAATGCATAGTCTAAGCATGAAAAAATAATGTTTGGTTAAAAAATTTTTTTTTGGATAATTTTTTTTTTTTTATAAACAATAAACAAGAGTTTTTCCTCTTTAATATGTATATATAAACTTACAGAGGTCGCCATTTTGGGTTAATTTGAAATAAAAAAAACTTTTGAATAATATATTGGAAATATAAGATACTGGTCAGTAGATAATGACAGGCTGATACAGTATTGTTTATATTTTTATTTTTATGGGCAACCTTTATGAAGAAATCGGTCTGGTAGTTAAAGGAGGACGAATGTCCAAATACCAATATTTTTTACTAACTCAAAGGAGGTAAACAAAAAAAATGTTGGCAGCTAAATTACATTTTTTATAACACCGACCTAATCAAAATTTAAATGTAAGTTAATTAAGTATGATGTACGCTTTTTTTGAGCTAGTCTGCCTTTAATTAAGCACCAATAGCACTAATTATTATTTTTGATTTGTTAATAAATTTAATAAGAGCTCATTTAACATTTAATTTTGATAAAAATGATGATGAAAAAAAAGAAAAATAACCAATCAGAATTCCCCTTAACTTGACATAGTTTTTTTTTAAATAAAAAAAAAATAAATAAATAAATTTAACTAGGCCTGTATTTTTGTTTACAGACAATTCACTTACCTTCTGTTTAATCAATTCCTCGAGGTTCATTTCTTCTTCTACTATAATTACCTCTGATACCGCCGTTTCGTCTGGTTTTTTCTTTTTGATTTGATCAGGTGGAATTGGAGACGGTAGTCGCTTTTGTTTTCCATTTTGAACACTGCTGCCATTCGACTTTTTTGTTTCCTTGGTCGTCTTGGGTTCACCATTTTCTTTTTTCGATTTTTTATGCTTGCTAATTTCAAATATTCGTAGTTATTAAACGCAAATAGCATAAGAAAAATTATAATGTAGATAATTAATTTTGTTTTGTGTAATGTCAATCAAATATTCTTTAAAAAGTTATTAGCTTTAATTCTGTTTACTAAGAGGGATGAAATGTGGCCACACTTGATGCATTCCGAAAGGAAAGGTTGCTGAATTAACATATGACGTATATTTTCAGATTATATTAGACTAATACTAAGGGTAGAATGATTGAGCTCCTATTTTATTTTATTAAAATAAACTTTATCCGTCTCAGTAAATAATATTAACTAAACTCTGCTAGGCTAATTTCTTTAAGTGGCAAGTCTACAGATCTGGAATTAAGTACATAAAGAATATTGATAAGATCGATATATACACTGATAAAACAAAAATATATCAAATACTTTATCCCTTAGAAGGATGGAGACTTTTAACTTTAATTTACTTATTTGAGTAAAGGTTTGCAAATTAAATTGAAGATTTTACCAAAAATCTGTAAGCTTTTTATTATTACTAAAGAAAAACCAAAAAAAAAAGCCAAATCTTATGCACATAACCTACAAACTAAAAGATATGAATGTAATGTTTGCAAAAAAATTTTTGCCACAAAAAATAGTTTTGAAAATCTCTTATTAGGGTTATAAATGTATGAAGTGGAACTGACTGATAACAGCTAAACTCATGTGATCAAACACAAAATGACGTCATAACTTCTACAAGTTTTGACCTAGAGAGCTATGGTGTTTGACTAGCCATATAAATTTGCGAATTTCTGACGTTTTAATATAGCGCAATAAAAATAAAATTCCCCTCAGAATGAAAAGTTCTACGTAATTGACTGGATCACTTTATCGCCATCAAAACTGAACAAAATTCGTCCAGGCAATTTTCGATAAGGATACGTCATAATGTCTTACTCGCATAACTAGTTTCAAAAAAACATTGTCCACATTTTATAACTTTTAGTTATTATAATATTCCCAAAGATTTGTGACCTCCCCCACCCGTTCATGCTCTGACCTCGCTGTGACGGCTTTTTGTTACAAGTGTGTTTTTAAAGTGTTTCACTTACCGATCACTTTTGTGTTTGTGTTTCTTTTTTTTCTTGTCCGTCCGACTGCTGCTTTCAACTAGTTCTATTGGCGAACCATCGGATAGGTTACTATCTACCCTATATTATTTGAACAGCAAGAGTTTACATTATTATTATAAGCACGAGCAATATTAATTATTAATCCCTAAATACAACTGTTAGCTGTACAGGTACTATAGGTACAGCTATATAATATAATTATTATCCTTTTATATAATTTTACTTACGGCATTTTGGTTTCGGTTTTATGTAATATTATTATTATTATTACCAACGACAAAACATTAAAAAAAATGACAAGCAATGCGGCAGTGTGCGTTGATATTTGATAAAGTAAACTGTAAATTATTATTGCAGCCGCTGTCCACAACGCGCTCTATCCGATAAAATATTATTATGTTATGTAATTTGGTATTGTGCACAGAGTAACATAAAAACCATAGAGGACACCCAATGTAAACGATGGTTTTCCGGACGGACGGACGCCGCCATCTTCTCGTTTATCCTGAAATAATTATGTAGCTGTACACGAGAAGTACAACATCATAATATCGATCGGTAAACGACAAGATGGCCGCCACGTGTTGAAATATTTTCCGAGTGTCCGCTCCGGCGCGGTATCCGAAGCGGTATCGCAGAGGTCGGTAGCGTTATCATCGCGGCACTCCGGTAATTTTCTGGAATAAATTCATATTAAATTATTTAATAAAATCATCGGCGACATCGGCTGTGATAATTTTTTTCGTCCAAAAAAAAATTAAAAAAAATTAATAACGTTAATAATTTGAAAATTGAATTCAATAAAAAGTATAATATTGTGTTCGTGACGAGTCGGGCGACGGATTAACGCGGTTATTATTATTATTATTTCTTTTTTTTTTTTTGTTATGAAAACCATTTCCTCCCCCCCCCCTCGATTTACCTCCACGCGACCGTTCCGCCTCCACCAGCGTCGGTATGGCGTACCCCCACCACGGTCAAACATCCGGTGTACGCCAGCGCACCACCGCCACCGCATACCGTACGCACCGCACAGCAGCGGCCAGCGGCAGCAGCTTGTGTTGTTATGCTGATATTGTTTGTTATTATAATAACGGAGCGGAGCTGTTTATGTGTTGTGCACGGCCGCCGCCAGTCCTGAATGTGTGTGTGTGGTAATACTAACGTTGCATCGTACGATTATTATTATTGTTTATTATTCGTGTAGCGTTGCGGCTGTTTTGAATTTACTTTTTTTTTTTTTGCCGTTGTCGTTTTCGCCTAACATGGACGTCCGTGCGATGGCCCGTCGGACGATTTGACGGTGTGTCGCGTCGCGGTGGTGCAGCAACAACGTACACACAACGTAGTCGCGATTCGCAAATGCCTCACAATAATGGCGACGGTCAGCCGATGGTATTGCTCCGCCGGCTAGCGCCCGAGCAGATCGACCGATTTAGCGGCCGCAGAAGGCGGCCACAACATTAGTAAGTACCTAAAAATGTACCGGTTGTGCTTAAAACGTGTCGGCAACGCGCACGGCCGAAATATGAACAGTGTTGATTGTATGATAATATGTCTACCTATCCTAGTATGGGCAACAGTATAAGCAAGGTGAATGGCGAAGTTCACAGCGACGGCACGTCCCCCCTTGCCAACGGCCACGACCGCGACGGACAGATTGAATGCGCCGAGAAAAATTCAAAAGTGAACGGCCACGACAATAGTGTCGTCGACAAACCGTATCAGATGGCCCATCACTCGAAGAGCACCAGTGCGAACACGGTCGGCGCGACGTCGAAAAGACGGACGAGCACTGTTTTTGCCAACAACGGTACCGCGATTGCTCTGGCGGCGAACACGGCCGTAAGCCCAAATGTCAAGGTAAGCACTTGTATTGTACGTATCCAAGGTAATGACATCGGTCCGACGGTTTGCTAATATTATTCTGTTAACTGTTTTACTAGTCAGTATGATTTATTATTATACTTATAGTTTGATTAATCAACTCTAAACCAACTACATTATTAGTAATAAAAAAAAGAGAATTATTTTCTCTTTCGTCTAGTATTAATAATTGTGTTGCAGTGAAAACAAACTCTGATAAGGTTTTTTTATCATTCCATTTACCGTTAATGTCAATATTTGCATTGAACACTGTCTTTATCATTTACCTTCTTAATACTTTATTATTCATGATATTGATAAACCATTTTTTTAAAAATTATTAATCTATTTATCAATATAAATATTATGTACCTTATTCTACCTTATTTTATAATAATATTACATTTTGAACAATATAATAAATTATTTGAAAAATAATACACTTGTTGTAGATATTGAGCTCCTCTTGGTAAGAAATCATCTTAATCGACAAACATTACTCGATTTTAAGGACAAAACAATCGGTTTTATTATTAAGTCAATTTTATTTTGTAATTTCACATACAGACATATTTGAGGATCTTTTGAAAATTAAAGTAGGTTAATTTTTTGGACGGAATTTTAGTTGTCGACATGACGTGTAAATAAACTGTTTGAATTTTTAAACCATGCTTGTTAACGTACTAATTAATTAATATTTTGGTTACATATTTTTAATATAACAACATAGTTTCAATAAAACGCCCTCCCGATGTTGACTACGTAACCATCGTAGTATAATATAATAGTAATAACATCAGTAATAAATAAATAAATCATACTTTTAAAATATTTCATTTATGTATTTAAAACGGCAGTTATAAGCATTTATATTCTTACTTTTTTATAGTTTTTTCTAATAAATCTCACTAATTTATCTAGTTGCTAATTCACAAATCGGCCTATTAGCTCCCGTAGAAAAAATAGCAAGCTTCACATGGGAAAACAAAAAATTTAAATCTATCCAATACATACACCAGGAAAATTACTTCTACAAAAGTAATTTTTTATCAAACTTCCACCATTACTCTGAAAAAAATAACTCAAAAAGTATTATAACTAGAAAAGCTTAATATTTGTTCTCCTTAAAATTGGCTACTAGATTAATTTTCCAAATCCCCTTAAGGGGGAATATTTGACAAAATTGATCTCCAAGCTAATTCAATATTAATATTTAAAAAAAGTATTAAGTTTTTCTAGTTGTAAAACTTTTAGTTTTTTTCTCCTAGTTATGGCAAATGTTTGATAAAAATTTTCTTTTGTCAAAGTAATTTTCTGAAGTATCTATTAAACAGTTGTCAATTTTTAGCTTCGATGCGGAATAGTTAGATATATTAGAAAAAAGTAAAAATATAAAATCTTTTAAAAGAATTAAAAAAACAAAAATCAGCCTTTTAGCCCTCATAGGGAACATAATAAACTGTATAGCAAAAAAAAATATTTAAAATTGGTAATGTAGACACTTCAGAAAGTTACTTTGCGTTTTAGTCTTTATTTGCATAATATGTTGTACAACCGTTATAGAAAATGTCTTGACGCTCTTTACGGTAACTATAATACTTATAGCCCTTTGTTTATTTGAACTAAAGTGTTTTCGTATTGAGTAAATTATTCGTTCGCTTATTACTCTATTTTTATTTACTTATTACTACTATATATTTTTTTTGTTCTAGCTTGATTTACAAAGTTTAATGAATTGCTAAAATTGATGTCGTTTCCTAACTTAAATTGTACACCTAATTAATGTCAAATTAACATATTATATTTTACATGTTTGCAGGGCAATGAGGAAGCGATTAAGGAAAATTCAAATGTCGATCGCAAAACCAGTGGTGCGTCAAAAGTGGTGCCGTCTAGACCAAGAGGAAGACCGCCACGAAATCGTGCGGTCGAAACCGTTAAATCCAATGTTGGTGCTAACACAAAATGCAATGGTTTAGTCAAACAAGTCAGCCCTACTGTTGTCCATACGACAGTAGAAAAAACACAAGAATGTGAACTTGCCCTGACCTCTCGCAAGAGGAAACATTCTGCCGAAGATCTCAAAGATAATACCACACCTGTGAAACGTGCAATCATTCTCGAAAAAGAACCTGAAAAAGGAGAATATTATGGCTTTCTAGCTGGGTACAGCTCGTTGCTTCACCCTCGACTAGAATCGTTATACTTACATAGTTACTGGCCAGCCAATTGGGCTTATTCTGCTCAGTCATTGACGGGTCACGTCTTAAAAAAAACCACCAAGGAATCGTTGCGAAAAATACGACAAATCATGTCTAACAGTAGTAATGTCGGTAGTATAGTGTCGAAGAGTAGTATTAACTATGCGCCGTGTTTAACTACAGCCGCTTCAACGTCAGCGCTTTCGGCAAATTCTACGTCGGTGCAGTCGAAGAAAAACGAAGAAGTGAAACCGCACCCGGCAACTCGTAGAGGACGTCGTAAAAAAATTGTTTCCGATAATGTTCAAGATACTGAAACCAGGAAAAAACAGGGAAGACCTCCGGGTGCACGTAACAAGCATTTGGCTGGCGTACTTAAAGACATCAGTCCAAGGAAGTCGCCCAGACAGCATGCTTCGACGTTGGCCGCAAAAGCTACTAAAGCTAAAGTCACAACCGTCGATGAGAGTGATGTGGTGAATTTGACGTACGAAGAAGAATCGCCTTTGCCGCCTGTGTTGGACGCTCCGATCGAGATTACACACAACGCTCAAAGACAGCGTAATAGGAAATCGGGATTATCGGCGAACCGCCATAGCGGCCCCCGGAGACGCACTCCACCACCGCCTAAACTGTGCGCTCAACAGAATGACAAGAGCGGTGAAGTCAAACTGCGCACTAAGCACGTCGACGTAGTAAGACGTAAAGTTCGAGACGAACGAATACGCAACATTATGCAGACTAAGCAGCTGGCTTCCATCAGAGAGATTGCCGAGAAAAACCGCCGAGAGTTTGCGATGGAATTCCAACAGTATAACGACGTGGACGAGGAAAACTCAAACCCGTGTATAGTATTGCCTCCGTGTGAACACAAAGAATGGAATACGTCATTTGACGTTAAGGGACTTAACAATATGTGTGCTCAAATCATGTATGAGCAAAGTGCAGACAAAAGATACCTACTGCAGGCTTTGCCTCAAGACCTGTTGAAAGTTTTGCAGCGTTCAATTACAGTGGCCAAATCCCGACGAGTGGGAGACGATTGTTACATAACCGATTGCAATGCAACGATAAATTCAATCGATCCGAGGAAAAGACGCAACAAATACTCGAGAAAGAAAAAACAAAATATGACCGGTTGGCCCAAAGAAAAGCGAAGGAAAGCGCCGGCTCAGGCGTCAGAAAATGTTTCGGAAGAAGATGATCAAGTAGAAGAGAAAACCAAATCTACTGTAAAACGGAGGACTTCTGCAGTCGTACAAAAGCAGAGCCGTAAAAGACTTAAGTTGCAGCAGGCATCGGCGACCACATCCCAAAGACGACAAAAAAGGAAGAGTGGTGGTCCGGCGGTTACGCCTGGACCTAAGAAAGGTCGCCCGTTCAAAAAGACAGTCGCCGTAGAAAATGCTAACCCAAAGAGGAGTCCGCAAAAAAAATTGGTCATTTCTGAAACTCTTGCCGCTGACGAATTGAAAAGCGTTCCAGTACAGCCTCGAAGAACTCCCGGACGACCACGTGGAACTCCCGGACGACCACGAGGATCCCCCGGACGACCCAAAGGCAGTCCCGGACGACCCAAAGGCACCCCTGGACGACCCAAAGGCACTCCTGGGCGACCTAGAGGCAGCGTTGGTCGTCAAAGGCGACGTTTGAAAAAGCTTCACTACGACTCCG